CAACATCCCTTATGCACTTCCTGATGAACTCGGTCATCGTGTCAGTGTATACGTCATAGTGTTTCTCAGAGGCAACCCGGAACATATCCCAGTCCACGTGATCAAAACAATCTTGAAGCATGGATTCCGGTTGGTCAGACCAGCGTTGAATAGACCTTAGCACAGGTACTTCCTGTTTGAGTTTCTGCTTATAGGAAGAGAGGAGCAGAATGGACTCGTGATCTGATTTGCCTAAGGGAGGGCGGGGGAGTGCCTTGTACCCATCCTGGAATGGAGAGTAACAATGGTTTAGAGTTTTTGAAGAGCGAGTACTGCAGGCAATGTGTTGATAGAACATCGGTAGCGTTTTCCTCAGATTTGCTTTATTAAAGTCCTCAGCTACAATAAATGCGGCCTCAGATTATGCAGTTTCCAGTTTGCACAAAGTCCAGTGTAGCTCCTTGAGAGCCATCCTTGTATCGGCCTAAGTGGGAATATACACAGCTGTGACAATGACCAAAGAGAATTCTCTCGGGAGGTAATGCGGTCGGCATTTGATTGTGAGGTATTCTAGGACTTGAGTTCCTGTACGTTACCACAATCACACCATGAGTAGTTAATCATGAAACATACACCCCCGCCTTTCTTCTTCCTGGAGAGTTCTTTATTCTTAGCTACGCGATGTACTGAGAACCCAGCTGGCTGTATGGACGGGACAGTATATCTAGAGAGAGCCATGATTCCGTGAAATAGAGTATGTTACAGTCCCTGATGTCTCTCTGGAAGGAGATCTTCGCCCTGAGCTCGTCTACTTTATTGTCCATGGACTGAACATTAGCGAGTAATATACTCAGAAGTGGTGGATGGTGTGCATGCCTCCTGAGTTGGACTAGAAGTCCACTCCGAATACCTCTTCTCCACCGGCGGCGTCTTGGAGCAGCCTCTGGGATAAGTTCAATCGCCTTGAAGGGTACGACCAAAGGATCCAATTCAGGAAAGTCGTATTTCTGGTCGAAATGCTGGTGAGTTAACGGTTATTTCCGGCTGTATGTAATAATGCATCAAACGTTCTGGGCTAATAATGTAAGAATTAACACCAGAATAACACCAAAAAAGAGACTGAAACGTTTCTTAGGAGCCAGAAACAGAGCGTCCATGTCTATCGGCGTCAACCTCTTGTGTGTGTGTGTTCTCCAGCTCTGCCTGGCTCTCTATAAACCCTATAAACCTCTCTATTACCATAGAAACCTCCATCTCCCTTTTACAGGCCCACACTCACCTGTGGCCCAGTTTTACTGTGTGTCTGTATGTGCTTTTGCCTAGAGAGCGAGAGAAATGACAGACGAGGACAGAGTTAGAGAAGAGACATGGAGGACGCAAGAGTCAAAATAAACTAGGAAAAGGGGAGTTTAAAGGAAGTATAAAGACGTGTATTAAGGAGAAATAGGAGAGGACTAAAGCTGTTATGCAGTAGTCTGTTACAGGAGGATGTTACAGTAGGATGTTGATGGGGTGGATGTTCCTGTTGTTTTGCAGAGATTGCATCAGCTATTTTATGACCACCTTCCGCTGTCATTCTGTAAAGGTTTTTGGTTCTGGCACAGAAGGTCAGTATTCAGGTTTTCTGTGACTTGGGATTACGTTGTGTGTTTGCGTGTGTGTGCGTGTGTTTGGTAGTTGAAGTCCCCTCTTGCCGCATTCCAAGGTCCCCCTGGTCTGAAAGTCATATCGGAGGTATAGTAGGTGATATTCTACTCTTCTCTGAGGCCATGATGATACAGTAATAATGAAGTCACATCTGTCGGCTAGGCAACCCTGTGGCAGGGAGGCAAGAACCCAGGGTGACTGTCACTGGGCAGGAAGTAAACGTCACAACGGGAATTAGCTGCCCTGCCTGCTGTCCTAGTGACTGCTGATGAAGGGGAAGTGATGTCATTGCACGCTGCCTACATTATTTGCCTCTCACCTGTGTGTGTGTGAGAGTGCGTGCGACAGAGGGGACTAATTACTAGAGCAGTAGAGCTGACCATGTCCAAATAATGATTTTATATCAAACACGGCAGTCAACAGAAACCAAGCCAAGTCTCCTCTCAGAGTGAGAGTGAGAGTGAGAGTGAGAGAGATTAATGTTAGGTAAGAATATTCAGTTCTAGGGAACCCTGTAACCTTAAACTGAATAAGTGGATTGATTTACAGGTCATCTGTGGAGTGTCTATTCTGCAATGCTGTGTGTGTGTGTCTTATAGAAGTACACAAATGCACTATACACACTCACAGACAAATACTATTTTTTTCGCTCTACCGTTCTCTACACACTCACACTCCTCCAGGTGCCATCTTAGTTCATACCTCCTGAAATAACCTTAAGCCCATGTTATGAGTTTCCAGATCCCTTAAACCCCTCTCCCTTATTGAGGTTTGCCTGGCCAGACTGTGTGTTTTCATGGAGCACCTTTTTGAGAAGTTAGATTGTCGTTTTTGCCAACTGTTGAGATCAGAGCCATTTCCTGACCATGTCCATCATGGTGCATGGTAATTGGCAGCATAACAGTTATTAGGTTAGGCTATTACGTGTGTGTGTCATGCGTGTCGTGTCAAATGGCAACCCGCCACACACATTATTCTCTGCCATGCTCCATTTTCCATCAATAACTCCTGGCGTGTGTGTTTGTGCCATGACACATATGTGTGAGTGACGCAGTAATCCCGTGTGTGTGGGATAGGTGTGAAAGCAGCGTAGGGTGTAGAGTTACTGACAGAAATCCATTAGATCACACTGGCAGCTGGGCTTAATTACTGCTAACTAGAAAGAGAGGGAGGGAGCAGGCAGGAAAGAAAGAGAGCAAAAGACAAAGATGGGAATGGGGGAAATGGAGAAGGAGAGAGAGGTGGGTGTAATTAAGACCAGGCAGATAGTTGTAGAGAGGTTTATGTAATGGCCACATCACACTTCCATGCTCTCCTTGCAAAAACTGAATCCATAGGGAGCTGTGGCTCTTCGGAGAGGAAGCTCTCCTTCTTTGGCTTGTGTGAAGTTGTATATGGGGTTGTGGCTATATTGGACAGGTGTGCGTGTTGCTTGTTTGCCATGCAGTGTATTTGTACAGTGTGTGTGCTTGCTTTTGTGTGTGTATGTGCGTGTATGTGTGTGTCACCGGTGACTAGGCTTGGTCAGTGTCCAGATTTTCATACCGGCATACCGTTCCTCTGCCATCCCGGGATTTACGGTATTACCGGCATAGCACACAAGGGGGGCGCTAAAAACACATAAAAAGCCCATTGTGCAATTATTACCAGAATGGTAACAAAATTAGCACAATTAATATCAAAATCACATCGACGCTGTTAGCTAAATTGTAACGAGCGAAAACAAAAAACAAACAAACTAATTGCAAATCCAGGCAAATCCAGCTCATAAAGTTATACAAGCATAGCTAGTAGCTACCGAATGTCATTTTCGGTGAGTGTGGACATATACAAGCGAAAGTGAACTAGAGAAACTGTGCAAATGAACAAAGTTGTGATGCAAGCTTTTCTAAAGGAAGAGCAGCATGGAGCAGAGGGGAGGAGGAGAAAAAAACGCTAGTAGGAAGCACAGGGAAAAAATGGCAGCTGTACAGATAACTCATCCAGAGCTCTTTAACTTCTGGCAGAAAATCATTCTAAGTTATCTGATGGCAAACATTTAGTGAATTGCATACAAGTGTAACTTCATCACCTCATGTGTGCCGCACAACAGAGACTCGCCGATAGATATAGAACGCTACCACAGGAGGTTGGTGGCACCTTAATTGGGGAGGACTGGCTCTTTTGGTAATGGCTGGAGTGGAATCAGTGGAATGGTATCAAATACATCATACGTGGTTTCCATGTGTTTGATGCGATTCCATTTGCTCTGTTCCGGCCATTATTATGAGCCGTCCTCCCCTCAGCAGCCTCCACTGAACGCTACCGCTTTTTCCCATTGCGCTATTTACAAACAAACATGTGACTGGCTCAACTGTTCTGGGGAACTATGGTAATAATAATGTAAAATAATGTGACAGGTGAAGTGAAGAACGCAATCTGCTTTATCTCCTAACATATTGCACAAGTAGCTACAAATATTCAAATGTATTGATAAACTTCAAATAAATAGTTTTGACTGTATTGACGTTATTGAAAAACCGTCCCGTGGCTTTTTCCTAATATCCCGGGATACGGTAAAGCCTAGCACCAGTGGCTTTTTCCTAATATCCCGGGATACGGTAAAGCCTAGCACCAGTGGCTTTTTCCTAATATCCCGGGATACGGTAAAGCCTAGCACCAGTGGCTTTTTCCTAATATCCCGGGATACGGTAAAGCCTAGCACCAGTGGCTTTTTCCTAATATCCCGGGATACGGTAAAGCCTAGCACCAGTGGCTTTTTCCTAATATCCCGGGATACGGTAAAGCCTAGCACCAGTGGCTTTTTCCTAATATCCCGGGATACGGTAAAGCCTAGCACCAGTGGCTTTTTCCTAATATCCCGGGATACGGTAAAGCCTAGCACCAGTGGCTTTTTCCTAATATCCCGGGATACGGTAAAGCCTAGCACCAGTGGCTTTTTCCTAATATCCCGGGATACGGTAAAGCCTAGCACCAGTGGCTTTTTCCTAATATCCCGGGATACGGTAAAGCCTAGCACCAGTGGCTTTTTCCTAATATCCCGGGATACGGTAAAGCCTAGCACCAGTGACATGTATTTTTGTTTAACTCCTCTAATTAGCCACCTCTCCCGTCGGCGGCGGCCACATCTTCCAATCAGCTTGTTCCGCTCATTACCCAGAGTTCAGTTCATTTCAGGGTTTTCATCAAATTAAGGCAGTGTGTGTCAGTTCAATCTCATCCCGATGGGGACCTGTGTTATCTAGTTCGCGCCTGGGAAGAGATGAGTCTATCACAATGGAGTATTTTCTGTCATAATGCAGAATAAAAGACAGTACTGATCAGAAGTTAGAGCAGCTGAGTTAAATTGAGGATTGTCCTGTTGACTAACTGAAATGCCACACTGTTCCCTCTGTGACTTTGTATCTGTGTGTCTGTCTCAGTTCTGGATGTCTGCTCTGGCCACCACCATCCCTGTGCCCTGTGGAGCCTTCATGCCCGTCTTCGTCATTGGTAAGAGAAGTGTGTGTGTGTGTTTCAGCAATAATGTTAACCCTGCAGATATGATATGCTATGCTATTCAGTCTTGTGAGTGTCTGTGTACCAGTTTGTTACTCTCTCATTAACTGTGTGTGCATGTGCGCGTGTGTGCGTGCATTTGTGTTCTAGGGGCAGCATTTGGCCGTCTGGTCGGGGAGAGCATGGCCGCCTGGTTCCCTGATGGCATCCACTCTGATGGCACCATCTACCCCATAGTGCCAGGAGGGTACGCCGTTGTGGGTGAGTTACTGTAGAAACACACACACACACACACACACACACACACACACACAAAGACAAAGTTTGGTACATCTAGACACCATTATTGTAACAATTAGGAAGTAGAAAGCCAGATACAATAAGACACTGCTAGACACTATAGTAATATAAAGACATTTATGTCAAAGATAAAAACTAAATGATGCGCTTTAGATGTCCCCTTTGGCAAGATGTCTCTTAATGTTGTTGCTATGAGTGATATTGCTGTTAGCGTTGTTGTTGACGGTTGTGCTGATCATGCTATTGTTCAGTGTTGGGGTTGATGTCAACTGTGTTTGTGTCTAATGGGTGCTGATGTTGTTGACTCACTTCTAACTCAGCTTTCTGTCTCTCTGATGATCCCTCTTTCATCTCAGCATGGCTAGATTTGTCCTCTCCTTCTCGTTCTCTCTCAAATCAAATGAAATGTCTCTCTTTCTCTCTCTCTCGCTCTTTTTCCTCCCTCCATCCTTATGAAGTTAGGAATAATCAACCTTCCTTCCCTCCCTCCTCTCTATCACTCTCTCCACTCCTCCTTTCTCTCATCTCTTTTTCTTTCTTCAATAATGGTTACAAAATATTGAAGAAGTTTAACCTCTTCATCACTAGGCACCTGGCTAAAGTGCCTGCCTCGAAAATACATGCCCAAATTGAATAGAGTATATCTCCTCCAAAACGACAAGGGCTATAAACATAGCAAAAGAAAGGTAACACATGTGAGATGTATCTTGAAGTGAAATAATTAATGTGGGTATTACTGTGTCAGACTACATGAAGCTAGAACACAGCATCAATTGGGAGGTTTTGATTCCACCTGAAAAGTAACTTCAGGTTTTATAGGGAATGCTTTATTGGACTTATGCAGCTGCAGCCCCTAAACACTATGGGACCATAGCCCAATATCTGATGAGTACTTATGTGAAGTTTGATGCCAGTAAAGTAAACCAAAGTTGTAGGGGTTTTAGTTGAAGTATGTTTAGGCGGATTACCAAATGAAGACATTTGGGTAGATTTGGGCACCATCAGTGCCATTTGACTTTTATCAGGTACCAGAAAGCAAAAGTCATTTAATTTCACTAACATTGTACATTCCATCAAAATACAACTGTTTTGATGTTGTTTCCAATGTTCTCCCAGACCTCTATACGTGTTGACTAAAGTGATAAATCAGTGACAAGAAATAATACACATACAGTGAGGGGAAGAAAGTATTTGATCCCCTGCTGATTTTGTACGTTTGCCCACTGACAAAGAAATTATCAGTCTATAATTTTAATGGTAGGGTTATTTGAACAGTGAGAGACAGAATAACAACAAAAAAATCCAGAAAAATGCATGTCAAAAATCTTATAAATTGATTTGCATTTTAATTAGGGAAATAAGTAGTTGACCCCCTCTCAATCGAAAGATTTCTGGCTCCCAGGTGTCTTTTATACAGGTAACGAGCTGAGATTAGGAGCACACTCTTAAAGGGAGTGCTCCTAATCTCAGCTTGTTACCTATATAAAAGACACCTGTCCACAGAAGCAATCAATCAATCAGATTCCAAACTCTCCACCATGGCTAAGACCAAAGAGCTCTCCAAGGATGTCAGGGACAAGATTGTAGACCTACACAAGGCTGGAATGGGCTACAAGACCATCACCAAGCAGCTTGGTGAGAAGGTGACAACAGTTGGTGCGATTATTCACAAATGGAAGAAACACAAAAGACTGTCAATCTCCCTCGGCCTGGGGCTCCATGCATGATCTCACCTCGTGGAGTTGCAATGATCATGAGAACGGTGAGGAATCAGCCCAGAACTACACGGGAGGATCTTGTCAATGATCTCAAGGCAGCTGGGACCATAGTCACCAAGAAAACAATTGGTAACACACTACGCCGTGAAGGACTGAAATCCTGCAGCGCCCGCAAGGTCCCCCTGCTCAAGAAAGCACATATACAGGGCCGTCTGAAGTTTGCCAATGAACATCTGAATGATTCAGAGGAGAACTGGGTGAAAGTGTTGTGGTCAGATGAGACCAAAATCGAGCTCTTTGGTCTCAACTCAACTCACCGTGTTTGGAGGAGGAGGAATGCTGCCTATGACCCCAAGAACACCATCCCCACCGTCAAACAAGGAGGTGGAAACATTATGCTTTGGGGGTGTTTTTCTGCTAAGGGGACAGGACAACTTCACCGCATCAAAGGGACGATGGACAGGGCCATGTACCGTCAAATCTTGGGTGAGAACCTCCTTCCCTCAGCCAGGGCATTGAAAATGGGTCGTGGATGGGTATTCCAGCATGACAATGACCCAAAACACACAGCCAAGGCAACAAAGGAGGGGCTCAAGAAGAAGCACATTAAGGTCCTGGAGTGGCCTAGCCAGTCTCCAGACCTTAATCTCATAGAAAATCTGTGGAGGGAGCTGAAGGTTCGAGTTGCCAAACGTCAGCCTTGAAACCTTAATGACTTGGAGAAGATCTGCAAAGAGGAGCGGGACAAAATCCCTCCTGAGATGTGTGCAAACCTGGTGGCGAACTACAAGAAACGTCTGACCTCTGTGATTGCCAACAAGGGTTTTGCCACCAAGTACTAAGTCATGTTTTGCAGAGGGGTCAAATACTTATTTCCCTCATTAAAATGCAAATCAATTCATAAAAATTTTGACATGCGTTTTTCTGGATTTTGTTGTTGTTATTCTGTCTCTCACTGTTCAAATAAACCTACCATTAAAATTATAGACTGATCATTTCTTTGTCAGTGGGCAAACGTACAAAATCAGCAGGGGATCAAATACTTTTTTCCTTCACTGTAGCATTCTATTGTAAGTAAACTTCCGTGTGGGCCTCAATTTAGCCAATAAAAGTGTTATCATACAATAAACACAGACTCGATTGTGATCCTTGCAGGACTAGCTAGCTAGCTACGCTAAGCTAGCTAGCGAGCTAAGCTAGCGCTAACTTACGTTGAGCTTCAGTTACTCAAATAGATATTTTAGAATGTATGTTTTGTACTCATACAATAAATTAGTAATAATAGTATTAGAAGTAATAAATAACAATGGGATTACGTACTCTTCTGATGCTTGAGTAGGGCCCTGGACACGATAACCTTCGTTCTCGTCGTTGGGGTCTGGTTCGTCCGGTCTAAGCAGGTCCTCATCGTCCGATTCAGAGTCAATGGGGATACATGGAGTCCAACGTTCATCTGTTACAATTGCTAATGCCTCTGTAACTGTATATTTCTTACTAGAGCCTGCCATATTTTTATAAACTTTGCGTTTTCCCTCCGAAATTCAAGTGCTGTTGTGCGCTCTGCGTAACCGTGCGTAATACAGCAAGTCAACTAATGTGATACAATGAGGTGCTCACATGGATATTTCAACAACCGGTTGGTCGATTTTGACATGTGACCCCTCTATCGAAAGTTCTGGATCAGTAGAATTAGATTAGCACAATTCCAAGTCACTGGGATTGCTTTATATATCCAGAAGATGGAGACAAAACAGTGCCTGCTGTGATTGAAACAAACTACTGACTTCATCTTCAAATACATTCTTGGCCATGTAAAACGATGTAAACTCTTTGAAATCGACTCGGAATGAGAGAGAGACACTACTTTTGGTAACAAAAACAACAAAGGTAAGACGCAGTTTGTTGTTGTGATAAAAATAATTAAAGTTTGTTATTGACGTTCTTTGATTAATAGTTTAGTGAGTGTTGGTCATAGAGGAACACGCCTATAAGTTATCTGTCTACGAATATACGGGCATGCACGGTTTCAAAATAGAGTACTGGTTTTGCTATATGCTTATATATTTGCTTGGAGTCTGAATATTATTTCATTTGGGCAACAACAGTTTAGCTAGATTCACAGTTGAGGCGCTTCTCGTTCCAGTAGTGTATAACATTCAGGTATTCACACGTTTAAAAACCGTACTACGTCATTGTTTGAGATTGCGAGAGGAGTACCCCGGATATGGGGAACCTCGGGATGAAGAGGTTAAAAGATGTAACTTTTTTTATCTTTGACTTTGTGAGGTACAGTCATCTCACCCATCCCCCATCCCTCTCCCCTCTCCTCCCTCCCTCCCCCATCGCCCCTCCTCACTTTGTTGTCACAGTATTATTGATGAAGGCTCAGTATAGAGTTGAGGTGATGAGAAGTATGATTGCACTGATATTGCTATTACTACATTAGTAATGTTAATGGGTAGTAATCATCTGTACCTATTCCCTGTACTCCTACTCTCTTCCTCTCTCCTCTTCTCCTCTCATCCTTTCTTCCTCTCTCCTCCCTTCTCTCCTCTTCCCTCCCTTCCTCTCCTCATCTCCCCCTGTCTTCCTCACCCCTCTCCTCCTAGGTGCGGCGGCCCTGTCTGGAGCGGTGACCCACACAGTGTCGACGGCGGTCATTGTGTTTGAGCTGACGGGTCAGATCAGCCACATCCTGCCGGTGATGATAGCGGTGATACTGGCCAACGCCGTTGCCCAGTCCCTCCAGCCCTCGCTATATGACTCCATCATCAGGATCAAGAAACTACCCTACCTCCCAGAGCTGGGCTGGGGACACCACGAGTACGTAGGACTACACTTCTATCTATCTATCTATCTATCTATTCCCGTCTTTCTCCCCACTTAATTTGTACTTCTATTTATCCCGCTTTCTGTCTTTTTCTCATTCTCTTTAAATCTCTCTTGGTTCCTCTTGCTGGGTTGGGGACTAGTGAGCAGAGCATATGAGCGGAGTGGAGCGGGAGCGAGCGTGGAGCGTGAGCGGACGGATTTTGAACAGAGCGCAGAGCGGCATTTTTAAAAGGACGGAGCGTCGCCCTATGTCCCGCTCCAATTTCGCTCGCTCACACCAAGAGTCTGAAGCATGCTCAAGCCTGACCCAGAATCCATCTGTTTAATTTAATTTGTGTCGTCCAAGAATTTGTATTTTATAGAGCGAGGAGCAGCAGCAGCAACAAGAGAAAAGCGTCGAGGAATTCAAAAGTTTATTCACTGCAGGCAAAGGCCCAACCATAACAAGGGAGAGAAAAAGAGAGCTGGATGTAGCATTTTTTAAAATGATTTTCATGGACTATGAACCGCTGAGTAAAGGAGAACGCGAAGGGATGCAACACTTCGCCAGCGCAGCTCAACCGGGCTACACCCCCCCCCTCCCCCAAGAAACTATGATAAATCAGTACTTTACTTTGTCAAATTTACATCTGAGATGCCCCATTCACATGCTTCAGCTGGCGATCAAAAACGCCGTTAACGAGCACGACAACATTAATAGGCTGTTAGTGAAAGTCGGGCACCTGGTGAAAAGTGTACGCAAGAGCACAGAGGAAACCGACCAATTAGGTGTCCGCCCCACAAATGCCTGCGCCATTCGATGGAGCAGCCAGCTGCGGATGATTCAGTCGTTCATCCGGTTGTTCCAAAAAGACCCGTTATGGCAAAACAAACTCAAGTCTAATGTTGCTAACATCACCCTGAATCAAGTACCGCAGCTGACGCACCTTGTCCGTGTGCTGACACCACTAGCAGACCTCACAGACAAAATGCAGAAGGAGCTGGGGAACCTGGGGATGATCCTCCATGCTGTCACAGAAATCAAATCCCTGCTCACCGATTACACTCACGCTGCACTTCCAATGGGCATCGCTGCTTTTGCAGAAACATTGGCAAACAACGTGTCAATTCGCTATGGAATATACTATACTGATTAACATCTCATTTTAGCGTCAGTGTTAGATCCCCGTTTCAAGACAGAATGGATAATCCGAGATGAGTCTGTATGCAACAAATTCGGGGAGATAAAGTAAGGCTGTGGTTTAAGCTAAAAGTGAAATACATGCAGATTTCGTTCCTTTTTTGGAGTGAGCGGGGGGGCGATTTGAGTGGAGCGCGATGCAAACTGCGTTGAGCGCTGAGCGATAATGAGCGGACTGGCCTGATGTGGCTTTGAGCGGGGGGAGCGGAGGGGTGAACAACTCCGTGAGCGAGGAGCTGAGATTCTCACCGCTCCACTCCGCTCATATGCTCTGCTAGTGAGGGGACGATTGAGGGGACTAGTGGTTCCTCTTGCTGGGTTGGGGACTAGTGAGGGGACGATTGAGGATTGAGGGGACTAGTGGTTCCTCTTGCTGGGTTGGGGACTAGTGAGGGGACGATTGAGGATTGAGGGGACTAGTGGTGCCTCTTGCTGGGTTGGGGACTAGTGTGGGGACTAGTGGTGCCTCTTGCTGGGTTGGGGACTAGTGTGGGGACTAGTGTTTCCTCTTGCTGGGTTTGGGACTAGTGAGGGGACTAGTGTTTCCTCTTGCTGGGTTTGGGACTAGTGAGGGGACTAGTGGTGCCTCTTGCTGGGTTTGGAACTAGTGAGGGGACTAGTGGTGCCTCTTGCTGGGTTTGGGACTAGTGAGGGGACTAGTGGTGCCTCTTGCTGGGTTTGGAACTAGTGAGGGGACTAGTGTTTCCTCTTGCTGGGTTTGGGACTAGTGAGGGGACTAGTGGTGCCTCTTGCTGGGTTTGGAACTAGTGAGGGGACTAGTGGTGCCTCTTGCTGGGTTTGGGACTAGTGAGGGGACTAGTGGTGCCTCTTGCTGGGTTTGGAACTAGTGAGGGGACTAGTGGTTCCTCTTGCTGGGTTGGGGACTAGTGAGGGGACATATTTCTTTTTTTATTTGTGGGAATACGTGGGAAAGGATTTCCTAAATTATAGATTTTTTTGCTGAATTCCTGGCGATTGTATACGTTTTTTTAACCAAAAACTAAAATCCTAAAAAATTTGATTTTTTGCTGTCGTGTCGGAGGTTGGCATGCTCAGCCTGTCTGGAGGGAAGGAAACCTGTCTAGGGAACCGTGTGGCCGGGGTAGAGGGGTAGAACCACAAATGTGCTGAGGCAGAACCTGCTCTCTCTCACACTGTCACCTCCTATACAGTACAACTATAACGTCCAGATGCAACCTCACCTCTGGAGCTATAAGTTCAGGACTGACTTGGATGTAGTTCCAAAGTAATCTCCAAAAGACAGAGGAATTGACAGATTACATTTTTTTTAGGCTTAACTATTCACTCCCATTTTCTAATAGTTGTCACTCACTGACTGTATAGGTGGTGCTAATAACTCCTCCCTCTCTTCCACTCCTCCCCTCGTCATCCCTCTCTCCTATCATCCTTCAGGAAGTATAATATTCGTGTGGAGGACATCATGATCAGGGATGTGACCTACATCACCCTCAACTGCTGCTATAGAGACCTGCATGATGTACTGCTGGCTGGACACCTCAAGACCCTGGCCCTGCTCGAGTCCAGTGGTGAGACACGCACACACACACTCATACTTTACAGACGCAGACACGCACACACACATATTACAGACACTAAAGAACATTTTCAGTCAAATAAATGCTCCCCTACACACACATTCAAGTTATGATAATATTCTTATAGAGTATGCCAAGTCTGTCATAATTGTGCAGCAATGCCAAAGCAATTAACTGGGGCAATTATTTTAAACAAACAAACACACCCCCTGTTGTGGACACACACACACACACACACTCACACTCAGACGCCTGGCTGTTCTCAGTTACATAACTCACCATGCAGCAACATGTGTTAGGAGTCCCCTGCAGTCTGCACATTAACTACTGTTCTAAAATACCTCTCTTTCTCCTCTCCTCCATCCCATCTTCCCACTCTGTCCTCCCCCTCTCACTCTAATCTCCTGGCCCCTCTCTCTCCATTTCTCTTCTCTTCCATCATCCCTCTTGTTTTTATTCTTATCTGTCTCTCTCCTCTACCTTTCATCCCATCTACTCTGTCCTCTCTTCACCACCTCACTCCCTTCTTACTTGCACTCTCGTCTCATATTTCTCTCCATCCATCTCTCCCTTGCTGCTCCTCACTTTCCCTGCTCTTTCTTTCTCCCTCTCTTTTTCTCCAAACCCCCCCAGAGTCGATGATCCTGCTGGGTTCTATTGAGCGTGCCCAGCTCCAGGCCCTCCTGTCCCTACAGCTGGGCCGGCCACGGAGGCTGGAGTACCTGAGAGACCGGGCTACTGCTGAGAAGAAGCGCCTGTCGATGGTCTCCCACCCGGGCAGCGAGGAAGGCTCCCAGAGGGTTAACCAGGAGGTCCGGTTCCAGGTAAGTACAGTCTTGACAACCCACACCAAGCTAAACATTACACTCTTCAAGGTCAGTCATGTCTGGAGTCTCCAGTACAACACCAAGCTAACAGTACACATAAAGCTGTAAAGTTGGGATGTTTACCCAAAACGTCTTGAAGACAAGATCAGTGGAGGAGGATAGGATACCAGGTCAGCGTTCTAGTCCCATGGTTGATATGTGAGAGAAAAGGTTTTAACAAGCCTTTATTGTCCCATCAATAAGAGACCGCGTGAGAGAGAGACTGAAAGAAGGAGTGAAAGAGAGAGAGAGACAGACTGAGAGAGGGAGAAACAGAAAGAGAAAACAGAGAGAGGGACCGACGGAGAGAGTGACAGTGACAGAGAGAGAGAGAAACAGAGAGAGGGGGACCGACGGAGAGAGTGACCGACTGAGAGAGTGACAGAGAGAGAGGGACAGAGGAGGAGAGAGAGACAGAGAAGGAGCGAGAGAGAAACAGAGAGAGAGAGGGACCGACGGAGAGAGAGACAGAGAAGGAGAGAGAGAAACAGAGAGAGAGGGATCTGTGTGTGTGCGCGCATTCGGTTGTGTGCGTGTGTGTGTGTGTGTGTGTGTGTGTGTGTGAGCACTGGCACACAGAGCTGAAATTGGGGTTTTGAGGCTGCCAATGTCTAACTTTGTTTTGAGGGCTAGCACTACTGTATTCAGAATACTGATCTGGTTCCTCCTCCCTGCGCCACCCCTGCACCCCACCCCAGGCTAGTGGGGTTCTACTCAGCCATTCACAGCAGGCCAGGTGGAGGGAGGAGGAGGAGGAGGGGAATGGAGTGGGTGGCGGGTAAGAGGGGAAACAAGCGTTTTCTCCCGCTTTTCCCCCCAGGACGCCAGGGTTTGGATATCCAACTATTCATCACACACACTCATTTACAGTGGGGGAAAAAAGTATTTAGTCAGCCACCAATTGTGCAAGTTCTCCCACTTAAAAAGATGAGAGAGGCCTGTAATTTTCATCATAGGTTCACGTCAACTATGACAGACAAATTGAGAAAAAGAATCCAGAAAATCACATTGTAGGATTTTTAATGAATTTATTTGCAAATTATGGTGGAAAATAAGTATTTGGTCACCTACAAACAAGCAAGATTTCTGGCTCTCACAGACCTGTAACTTCTTCTTTAAGAGGCTCCTCTGTCCTCCACTCGTTACCTGTATTAATGGCACCTGTTTGAACTTGTTATCAGTATAAAAGACACCTACCTGTCCACAACCTCAAACAGTCACACTCCAAACTCCACTATGGCCAAGACCAAAGAGCTGTCAAAGGACACCAGAAACAAAATTGTAGACCTGCACCAGGCTGGGAAGACTGAATCTGCAATAGGTAAGCAGCTTGGTTTGAAGAAATCAACTGTGGGAGCAATTATTAGGAAATGGAAGACATACAAGACCACTGATAATCTCCCTCGATCTGGGGCTCCACGCAAGATCTCACCCCGTGGGGTCAAAATGATCACAAGAACGGTGAGCAAAAATCCCAGAACCACACGGGGGGACCTAGTGAATGACCTGCAGAGAGCTGGGACCAAAGTAAAAAGCCTACCATCAGTAACACACTACGCCGCCAGGGACTCAAATCCTGCAGTGCCAGACGTGTCCCCCTGCTTAAGCCAGTACATGTCCAGGCCCGTCTGAAGTTTGCTAGAGTGCATTTGGATGATCCAGAAGAGGATTGGGAGAATGTCATATGGTCAGATGAAACCAAAATCGAACTTTTTGGTAAAAACTCAACTTGTCGTGTTTGGAGGACAAAGAATGCTGAGTTGCATCCAAAGAACACCATACCTACTGTGAAGCATGGGGGTGGAAACATCATGCTTTGGGGCTGTTTTTCTGCAAAGGGACCAGGACGACTGATCCGTGTAAAGGAAAGAATGAATGGGGCCATGTATCGTGAAATTTTGAGTGAAAACCTCCTTCCATCAGCAAGGGCATTGAAGATGAAACGTGGCTGGGTCTTTCAGCATGACAATGATCCCAAACACACCGCCCGGGCAACGAAGGAGTGGCTTCGTAAGAAGCATTTCAAGGTCCTGGAGTGGCCTAGCCAGTCTCCAGATCTCAACCCCATAGAAAATCTTTGGAGGGAGTTGAAAGTCCGTGTTGCCCAGCGATAGCCCCAAAACATCACTGCTCTAGAGGAGATCTGCATGGAGGAATGGGCCAAAATACCAGCAACAGTGTGTGAAAACCTTGTGAAGACTTACAGAAAACATTTGACCTGTGTCATTGCCAACAAAGGGTATATAACAAAGTATTGAGAAACTTTTGTTATTGACCAAATACTTATTTTCCACCATAATTTGCAAATAAATTCATTAAAAATCCTACAATGTGATTTTCTGGAGAAAAAAAGATCTCATTTTGTCTGTCATAGTTGACGTGTACCTATGATGAAAATTACAGGCCTCTCTCATCTTTTTAAGTGGGAGAACATGCACAATTGGTGGCTGACTAAATACTTTTTTTCCCCCACTGTAGCTCTCTCAGCGCTCTCGCTTTCTCACTCTCTCTGTTTTTCTCGCTCTCGCTCTCGCTCTCGCTAAAAACAAACAAAAAAAAAAATAAAAGCATTGTAAGTTTTAATTTTCTAAAGTTGGTGTGGGAGAGTTGGAAAAATAATTGTTATCAATCAATAATGACAAACCTCCTGGCATTGACAAGCTACTGAGGATGGTAGCTGACTCTATAGCCACTCCTATCTGTCATATCTTTAATCTGAGCCTAGAGGAAAGTGTTTGTCCTCAGGCCTGGAGGGAAGCCAAAGTCATTCCACTACCCAAGAGTGGTAAAGCGCCTTTACTAGTTCTATTTATTTATTTATTTTATTTATTTATTTATTATTTCTATTTATTATAGTTCTAACAGCAGACCTATCAGCTTGCTGCCAGCTCTTGGCAAACTGTTGGAAAAAATGGTTTGACCAAATACAATGCTATTTTTCTGTAAACTAATTACCAATAGACTTTCAGCATGGTTATAGAGAAGGGCACTCAACATGTACTGCATTGACACAAATGACTGATGATTGGTTGAAAGAAATGGATAATAATACGATTTTGGTATCTGTACTGTTAGATTTCCGTGCAGCCTTAGATATTATTGACCATAAACTGTTGTTGTTATGGCTTTTCAACCTCTGCCATATCGTGGATTCAGAGCTATCTATCTAATAGAACTCAGAGGGTTTTTCTTTAATGGAAGCTTCTCTAATGTCAAACATGTAAAGTGTGGTGTACCGCAGGGCAGCTCTCTAGACCCTTTACTCTTCTCGATTTTTACCAATGACCTGCCACTGGCATTAAACATAGCCTGTTTGTCCATGTATGCTGATGATTCAACCCTATACGCGTCAGCAACCACAGCTAATGAAGTTACTGAAACCCTTAACAAAGAGTTTCAGTCAGTTTTGGAATGGGTGGCCAGTTGAGGAGACTAAATTACTTGGTGTTACCTTATATTGTAAACTGTCATGGTCAAAACATATTGATTCAATGGATGTAAAGATGGGGAGAGGTCTGTCCGTGATAAAGAGATGCTCTGCTTTTTTGACACCACACTCCACAAAGCCAGTCCTGCAGGCTCTAGTTTGATCTTATCTTGATTATTGTCCAGTCACATGGTCAAGTGCTGCTAAGAAAGACCTAGTTAAGCTGCAGATGGCCCAGAACAGGGCAGCATGTTGTGCTCTTTATTGTAATCAGAGGGCTAATTTTAATACTATGCATGCCAGTCTCTTCTGGCTAAGAGTTTAGGAAAGACTGACTGCATCACTTCTTATTTTTATAAGAAAGATGAATGTGTTGGAAATTCCAAATTGTTTGCATAGTCAACTTACACACAGCACTGACACACACACTTACCACATCAGACATGCCACCAGGGGTCTTGTCACAGTCCCCAGGTCCAGAACTAATTCAAGGAAACATACAGTATTATGCAGAGCCATGATTGCATGGAACTCCTTTCCATCTCATATAGTGCAAGTGAACAGCAAACATGGTTTAAAAAAAACAAATAAAGCAACACCTCACGGCACAACGCCTCTCCCCCATGTGACCTACTTGTTGTGTGTATGTACTGTACTAACTGATAGATGCACACACTACATGTTAATGTTTTTAAATGTATGTCAATTGTAAAGTCTTTTGTCTGTAATGTCTTTTTCGTTATGTGTCGGACCCCAGTAAGACTAGCTGTCGCCATTTGGCTTCGGCTAATGGAGATCGTAATAAATAAAAATATCTCTATCCTCATCACCACTTTCTCTCTTTTCAGCTCTAGTGTTTCTTCCATTCTATTGACTTTTCTTCTCACTTTTTCATTCTGTCTCCTTCTTTAGCTCTCTGCATATTCTCACTATCTCATCTCATTCTCTCCCTCTCGATTGCTTTTTCTATTCCTCCCTCCATCAGGCTGTGTGTGTGGGGGGGTAGTAATAGTGGTGAGATGAGACAGAGAGCAGCCCATTAGATTGATAAGTCAGGAGGAGAGTGAAAGACAATAAAATACAAATTAGATATAGAGAGGGGTGGAGGGAGGCATGGGTGGAGAGAGGAGGAGGAAGAGAGGGGGAAGGAAAGAGGGAGGAGAGAGTGAGGCACATGTTGATGTCCAGAACAGCATGTGAATGTGTCAGTAAGGGAGTTTGCCTGTAAGTATAACTTGTTATTGGATCATTCTGTCGCACTGAATACCTTCCCACAGTGGGACCATTTCTCCAAACGAAACTACAGTGATGTGTGTGGAATGTGTACAGGGGATGTACAATGCCTTCGGAATGTAATCAGACCCCTAGACTTTTTCCACATTTTGTTACATTACAGCCTTATTCTAAAATTGATTAAATAACAAAAAGTCCTCAGCAATCTACACACAATACCCCATAATGACAAAGCGAAAACAGGTTTTTAGAAATCTTTGTCAAATGTTTTTTTTTTAAAGATTAAAAAAAAAGATAATACCTTATTTACATAAGTATTCAGACCCTTTGCTATGAGACTCGAAATTGAGCTCAGGTGCATCCTGTTTCCATTGATCATCCTTGAGATATTTCTACAACTTGATTGGAGTCCACCTGTGGTAAATTCAATTGATTGGACATGATTTGGAAAGGCACACACCTGTCTATATAAGGTCCCACAGTTGACAGTGCATGTCAGAGTAAAAACCAAGCCATGAGGTCGAAGGAATTGTCCGTCGAGCTTCGAGACAGGATTGTGTCGAGGCTCAGATCTCAAAAACATTTCTGCAGCATCGAAGGTCCCCAAGAACACAGTGGCCTCCATCATTCTTAAATGGAAGAAGTTTGGAACCACCAAGACTCTTCCTAGAGCTGGCCACCCGGCCAAACTGAGCAATCGGGAAGAAGGGCCTTGATCAGGGAGGTGATGAAGAACCTGATTGTCACTCTGACAGAGCTCTAGCGTTCCTCTGTGGAGATGGGAGAACCTTCCAGAAGGACAACCATCTATGCAGCACTCCACCAATCAAGCCTTTATGTTAGAGTGGCCAGACGGAAGCCACTCCTCAGTAAAAGGCACATGACTGCCCGCTTGGAGTTTGCCAAAAGGCACCTAAAGACTCTCAGAGAATGAGAAACAAGATTCTCTTGTCTGATGAAACCAAGATTGAACTCTTTGGCCTGAATGCCAAGCGTCACGTCTGGAGGAAACCTGGCACCATCTCTACGATGAAGCATGGTGGTGGCAGCATCATGCTGTGGAGATGTTTTTCAGCGGCAGGGACTGGGAGACTAGTCAGGATCGAGGCAAAGATGATCAGAGCAAAGTACAGAGAGATCCTCGATGACAACCTGCTCCAGAGCGCTCAGGACCTCAGACTGGGGCGAAGGTTCATCTTCCAACAGGACAACAACCCTAAGCACACGGCCAAGACAACGCAGGAGTGGCCTCGGGACAAGTCTCTGAATGTCCTTGAGTGGCCCAGCCAGAGCCCGGACTTGAACCCAATCGAACATCTCTGGAGAGACCAGAAAATAGCTGTGCCGCAATGCTCCCCATCCAACCTGACAGTGCTTGAGAGGATCTTCAGAGAAGAATGGGAGAAACTCCCAAAATACAGGTGTGCCAAGCTTGTAACATCATACCCAAGAAGACTCGAGGCTGTAATCGTTGCCAAAGGTGCTTCAACAAAGTACTGAGTAAAGGGTCTGAATACTTATGTAAATATGATTTTTAATCAATTTTAGAATAAGCCTGTAACCTAACAAAATGTGGAAAAAATCAAGGGGTCAGAATACTTTCCGAAGGCACTGTAGGTACAGCATGTACTGTACTATTGATTAAATGTATTCAGAGTGTATAGTAACTGTGTATGTGTAGATCTCCACAGAGGAGTCTTCCTTCAGTCCCACCCCTACCCCCTCCATGAAGCCACTGAAGCCTGCCCTGAAGAGACCCTCTGTGGTGGACCGCCCTACTGAGATACCCATGCCCACAAGTAAGCACAAGCACAAACACACACACACACACACACACACACACACACACACACACACACACACACACAAACCCTCGGTCAGACCTTAACTCCATAGAGTCGATTGACGCACCGGTGTCAGTTTAAGCTGGCAGTTTTTTTTCCACCGCATCGCCGACATTGCTCTTCCGCATCTACGGTGAAAGGTGGCAAAGCTAGAGCGGTGTTTGTCAGATCATGAGACATCCCAAAAATCGGTCTTCTCACGAAAACGTCTGTTATGAACACTCTATGGAAAGGGGAGACTCTCATGAACACGATGATGGTATCCACTCTACGACCCCCACTAATGTCAGGGGACTAGTCTGAAGGTAATTGGTACCGGTTTTAAAGAAAATAATGGAAGGATGAAGGTAGTTTTGTGCCTACCCAAATAAATATATACAGTACCAGTCAAAAGTTTGGACACACCTACTCATTTTTCTTTATTTTTACAATTTTCTACATTGTAGAATAATAGTGAAGACATCAAAACTATGAAATAACACATATGGAATCATGTAGTAACCAAAAAAGTGTTGAACAAATCAAAATTATTCAAATAGCCACCCTTTGCCTTGATGACAGCTTTGCACACTCTTGGCATTCTCTCAACCAGCTTCATGAGGTAGTCACCTGGAATGCATTTCAATTAACAGGTGTGCCTTCTTAAAAGTGAATTTGTGGAATTTCTTTCCTTCTTAATGCGTTTGAGCCAATCAGTTGTGTTGTGACACGGTAGGGGTGGTATACAGAAGATAACCCTATTTGGTAAAAGACCAAGTCCATATTATGGCAAGAACAACTCAAAAAAGCAAAGAGAAAAAACAGTCCGTCATTACTTTAAAACATGAAGGTCAGTCAACACGGAACATTTCAAAAACTTTGAAAGTTTCTTCAAGTGCAGTCGCAAAAATCATCAAGCGCTATATATAATAATAATATAATATGCCATTTAGCAGACGCTTTTATCCAAAGCGACTTACAGTCATGTGTGCTAGGATTAAACTGGCTTTCATGAGGACCGGCACAGGAATGGAAGCCCCAGAGTTACCAGCCTCAGAAATTGCTGCCCAAATAAATGCTTCAGATACAGTTGAAGTCGGAAGTTACATACACCTTAGCCAAATACATTTAAACTCAGTTTTTCACAATTCCTGACATTTAATCCTTGTAAAAATTCCCTGTCTTAGGTCAGTTAGGATCACCACTTTATTTTAAGAATGTTAAATGTCAGAATAATAGTAGAGAGAATGGTCTAAATTATTTATTTCATCACATTCCCAGTGGGTCAGAAGTTTACATACACTCAATTAGTATTTGGTATTATTGCCTTTAAATTGTTTAACTTGGGTCAAACGTTTCGGGTAGCCTTCCTCAAGCTTCCCGCAATAAGTTGGGTGAATTTTGGCCCATTCCTCCTGACAGAGCTGGTGTAACTGAGTCAGGTTTGTAGGCCTCCATGCTCGCACATGCTTTTTCAGTTCTGCCCACACATTTTCTATAGGATTGAGGTCAGGGCTTTATGATGGCCACTCCAATACCTTGACTTTGTTGTCCTTAAGCCATTTTGCCACAACTTTGGAAGTATGCTTGGGGTCATTGTCCATTTGGAAGACCCATTTGCGACCAAGCTTTAACTTCCTGACTGATGTCTTGAGATGTTGCTTCAATATATCCACATTATTTTCCTTCCTCATGATGCCATCTATTTTGTGAAGTGCACCAGTCCCTCCTGCAGCAAAGCACCCCCACAGCATGATGCTGCCACCCCGTGCTTCATGGTTGGGATGGTGTTCTTTGGCTTGCAAGCTACCCCCTTTTTCCTCCAAACATAACGATGGTCATTATGGCCAAACAGTTCTATTTTTGTTTCACAGACCAGAGGACATTTCTCCAAAAAGTATGATCTTTGTCCCCATGTGCAGTTGCAAACCGTAGTCTGTCTTTTTTATGGCGGTTTTGGAGCAGTGGCTTCTTCCTTGCTGAGCGGCCTTTCAAGTTATGTCGTTATATAGGACTCGTTTTACTGTGGATATAGACACTTTTGTACCTGTTTCCTCCAGCATCTTCACAAGGTCCTTTGCTGTTGTTCTGGGATTGATTTGCGCTTTTCGCACCAAAGTACGTTAATCTCTAGCAGACAGAACGCGTCTCCTTCCTGAGCGGTATGACGTCTGTGTGGTCCCATGGTGTTTATGCTTGCGTACTATTGTTTGTACAGATGAACGTGGTACCTTCAGGCGTTTGGTCCCAAGGATGAACCAGACTTGTTGAGGTCTACAATTTATTTGCTGAGGACTTGGCTCATTTTCTTTTGATTTTCCCATGATGTCAAGCAAAGAGGCATTGAGTTTGAAGGTAGGCCTTGAAATACATCCACAGCAATGGACATTAAACCGGTGGAAATCTGTCCTTTGGTCTGGTGAGTCCAAATTTGAGATTTTTGGTTCCATCCGCCGTGTCTTTGTGAAGGCCAGATTCAATATTTTATCAAGTAATTTCTTTATATATATTTCTTTATACCTAAAGGGGTCCTACATTTCAAAATCAACTAGCTAAATGATCCATAGTATGACCAGCCCCACGCCCCCTGTCCCCCCAAGGGCTTAGACTTTTAAGAACTATTAAACTTATTTATTTACTTAGAGCCACTTCAATGGTCTCTCTCTTTCTCTTTCTCTTTCTCTTTCTCTTTCTCTTTCTCTCTCTCTCTCTCTCTCTCTCTCTCTCTCTCTCTCTCTCTCTCTCTCTCTCTCTCTCTCTCTCTCTCTCTCTCTCTCTCTCTCTCTCTCTCTCTCTCTCTCTCTCTCTCTCTCTCTCTCTCTCTCTCTCTCTCAGGTCCACAGGACCACTCTAGCAGCGCCTTAAAGAACCTCTTCTGTGTCAACCCTGAGACAGAAGGCCTGGAGGTGAGACACCTGTTTTAAAACACACACACACTCACACACACTCCCCTTACCTCCTACCCTTCTCCTCCAAGCTCAGAATCTCCCAACTCTCTCCTACACATAACCTCTTCCTGCCTAGTCCTGCTCTCCACTCTCTCTGAGTGACACCTCCACACAACCACTTGAGTTGGGAGACTCGAGTGTCTGTTTCTGAGAGTGGTGGGGTGAGCGTTTGCCCAGCGTTGCGGATGCGTTGTGTTAATATTGTTCTTGTCTTTGGCCGCTGGAAGAACAAGAATGTCAACATCAACATAGAGGGCACTGCATCGAGCTCTGCGACTCCTGAGTTTAGGAGGCCACCCAAGCGTGTCAGGATTTCCGTCGTGGTAAGAATGCCGGGAATGCTTGGGGAAACTGCCCAGCAACTGGTCAGCCATCCAATCAACCAATCGCCATCCGCTGCAGGGCTAATCCATGCCGATGGACTGTGATCTGTGCCATCGAGCCAAATGTGTTGAACGTCCTCCTCCCTGTCTGTGAACCATTACTGACCTCTGACCCCTAGTCCTCCTCTTCTGATTGATTGGCTGTTAGAACGCAAACTGAATGCAAACATCGTCAGAATGCAAACTGATTGGTCAAGAGGTCAGTAGGGGTCATGGAGAACTCGACCGCCCCTATAGCTATGACACCCTAAACCGCAAAAGACTGGACCACAGACACGGTTTGTAAACGTGGTCTTTCCTCGGTCAGGGTGGTGTGGTTAAGTTGTGGTCAACTTAAGGGATGTGGCGGTTCAACCAAAGCATGCTGCTACGCTGTCCATCATCAGCCATGTCATTAGAGGCGTCCAATCAGTGACCTTCTACTGGTTTGTGGGTGGGGCCTGGAGCGCTACAGTCCGCCCTTCCACAGAACCAAACCCCTCCCACTTGTTCATCTGCTGTAGTTCTTCATACCATTTGTCATGAGGACACAAGTTATACTAGGGATAGAGGGAGGGGGGTGAGGGATGGGATGGGATGGGAGTGGGGTGGGGGGAGGTGTGTTGCTCAGTTGGTAGAACATGGCACTTGCACTGCCAGGGTTGTGGGTTTGATTCCCGGGGACACCCATATGTAAAATGTATGCACACATGACTGTAAGTCGCTTTGGATAAAAGTGTCTGCTAAATGGCATATATTATTAGCAGAAATCAGAGATGTATCATGTTGGTAAGACGGGCAGTTCTAGTCCTCCTGTTCAATGGCAAAGCAATTACAATTACAAACACCAAGCAAACCATAAACCAAAATACACTGTCCAGTTACCAACACTGCTACGGTCAAACAGTGACGCATGTCCATCCATGAAACAACCGCCCAATTCTGAATTACACCATGATAAAATGTTGCATTTACGCCCCATGACAAAATATAAAATGGTAATTATTGTTTTATTCATAAATAGTCAAGAGAACAGCTATCTGGAAATTAAATAGGGAAAGGTTTTATGTCATTAAACATAGATTTGATCTCATATCCATAGGCTACATGTATCCATATGTCATAAAATCATCCGTTCATCATATATGTAGAAGTAAAACCTTGAACCATTTGATCGCTGTCCTCTTGATCACGTGGATTTCATTCGCTAGAAACCACCACCCAGCTTAGATTTATTTTGGGGTGAGCATGTTATCTACGTTCTACACACAGTCACACACACACACACACGCAGACACACACACAGACACAAACACACACACACACACACATTCAGAAAAGTCTAGTATTTTTAAGATAGAAAGAGACTATTGATAGAGATCCATTCTAAACAGTGTGTGTAATATTAGTAATTCAAAATGTGCCTAGCCTAAACCTAATGCTACAATATTGATGATCTGGATGTTTGGGTGAAGTAGAGACATATTAGTCATAATAAAGCTTTGATGAGCTAATTAGACACAACTACCTTTAGTGTTGATTATAGTTATTAGTATTCAGAGGGAGTGTGTGTGTACTCAGAAACAAATGTATTAAACTATTTTCTCAAGACTTCCGACTAAACTACTGTACACCCCAGCATCTGAAAGAAATCAAGTTATTACTTCTCTTTCTCCCCCTGAGCTGTAGTTCACAGTCCCCTTCTCTCTCTAAATTACTCTAATTTCCCCTCTTTTTCTCTACCCCTCTGTGTCACTATTCCTCTTTCTTTCCATCTCCTTTTCATCCCTTTCTTCCTCCCTCCTCCCCACCTCCTCCCTCCTCCCCACCTCCTCCTCCCTCCTCCCCACCTCCTCCTCCCTCCTCCTCCCTCCTCCCCATCTCCTCCTCCCCATCTCCTCCTCCCTCCTACCCACCTCCTCCTCCCTCCTCCCCACCTTCTCCTCCCTCCTCCCCATCTCCTCCTCCCCATCTCCTCCTCCCTCCTCCCCATCTCCTCCCCATCTCCTCCTCCCTATCTCCTCCTCCCCCATCTCCTCCCTCCTCCCCACCTCCTCCCCATCTCCTCTTCCTTCCTCATTCCTCGTTCCTTCCTCCCCCACCTCCTCCTCCCTCCTTCCCACCTCCTCCCTCCTCCCCATCTCCTCCTTCCCACCCTCCTCCCTCCTCCCCATCTCCTCCTCCCCATCTCCTCCTCCCTCCTAATCACCTCCTCCCCACCTCCTCCTCCCTCCTCCTCCCTCCTCCCCATCTCCTCCTCCCTCCTCCCCACCCTCCTCCCCATCTCCTCCTCCTCCTCCCTCCTCCCCACCCTCCTCCCCATCTCCTCCTCCCCTCCTCCTCCTCCTTCACCCTCCGGTCTACCTTCTTTCCTGCCTTCCCTCCTACCTCTCTGTATCCAGTGTGAAATATTGACGCAGGGTAAATTACATGAGTATTCCATCCCAGCCTTTAAGAGCTCAGCGTTTTCTAATTATTTCTCTCCTCCTCTTGACGAGAGCAGACCAGACAACACATCACTGAGGGGTTTCATGCCTTATTAATGGACGTTGTGTTTGTCCAGATTTATTATCCGCCTTTAGAATCACACAGGGAATGGCATTGTCAGCGGGTGTGTGTGTTACTTTGTTGGCTTGACCTGAATTGAAGTCTGTTGAGTAGTTGGATGTGTGGATTGCAGTGGACCAACACTGGGGGTCAAGACACTGAGGGATGGAGCAGAGGACTTAGATTAGATTAAGAGACAGACACACACAGATGCAGAAAGATCAATAGATAGATAGATCAAGAGGAAGGGGGAGAGAGATGTCACCTGTTAAATCCACTTCAATCAGTGTAGATGAAGGGGAGGAGACAGGTTCAAGAAGGATTTTTAAGGCTTGAGACATGGATTGTGTATGTGTTCCATTCAGAGGGTGAATGGGCAAGACAAAAGATTGAAGTGCCTTTGAACGGGGTATGTTAGTAGGTGCACCGGTTTGAGTGTGTCAAGAACTACAACACTGCTGGGTTTTTCACGCTCAACAGTTTCCCGTGTGTATCAAGAATGGTCCACCACCCAAAGGACATCCAGCCAACTTGACACAACTGTGGGAAGCATTGGAGTCAACATGGGCCAGCTTTCGACACCTTGTAGAGTCCATGCCCCAACGAATTGAGGCTGTTCTGAGGGCAAAAGGGGGTGCAACTCAATATTAGGAAGGTGTTTCTAATGTTTTGTGTACTCAGTGTATATCTCCGAGGCATATGTGATTGGGTGGTTGTGTCACCCTATTCCCTGCTGACCCGGACCCCAGGCTCTGATTGGCTAATTCCTACAGGATGTACAGGATGGAGGGAGAGATTGATCACTTGGGAAAGGGTGGAGGGAGGGAAGAGAGGAGGGATGCTGCTCTCTAATCACTCTGTGGAAGCAGCACAGCAAGCAATACAGCTTCAGTACGCTCAGTCTCTCACCCAGTCACTCACTGTGTAGGGCTGGACACACACTGTCTCTCACCCAGTCACTCACTTGCGAGGGCTGGACACACACCCTGTCTCTCACCCTGTGGAGGACTGTACCGGAATTCTCTCTCTCTCTCTCTAACTCACTCACTCATTCACTCACAGACACACACCCACATACACTCATTCTTCCATACACACACACATACTTACCCAAACACACTACCCTTGGTACTTACATTCATACACTCACTCTTGCGTCTCCACATATCCACACCGCCCCTGCATATTTGCTCACTTAATAGACTAGCTCATCTTTATACAAGCATATACTTTACATGTACAGTCTCACCTGCTCTGTCTCTCTCCCAAAAACACACTGCAGGTGGTAGCTGTTCTGTATCAAACAACTACGTCTCTGTATTAAACTGATTCTTCTACACACACACACAGACACAGACACTGTCACGCTCTGACTCTGGGGACTCGTATTTGTTGAGTCAGGGTGTGTATTTTCTGTGTTGTGTTTTGCTTGTTGATTTTCTATGTTTAGATCTAGTATGTGTAGATCTATGTTGGCCGGTGTGGTTCCCAATCAGAGGCAGCTGTAGCTCGTTGTCTCTGATTGGGGCCATACTTAGGCAGCCTATTGGCACTAGTGGGTTGTGGGATCTTGTTCCGTGTAAGGTATGTTGTTTGTGTGCTACCTTGGACTTCACGTATCGTTTGTTTATTGTTGTGTCGTTGTGTTTATTCGTTAATAAACATGTATGCATATCACGCTGCGCCTTGGTCCGTCCCGTCTATAAACGATCGTGACAGAAGATCCCACCAAACGAGGACCAAGCAGTGTGCCCAGGAAGAGCGAGTAGCGATGTCACAGGTGGGCAAATTGTGGTCATGGGAGGAGATATTCGCAGGGAAAGGGCCATGGGCGAAGGTATATGCCCAGGCAGGAGAGGAACAACGGCAACACGGAAGCCGGCCGAGGAGGAGGCCCGAGAAGCAGCCCCAATAAAAAAAATTGGGGGGGCTAAAGGGGTGGTCGGGGAGCGATAGAGAAGAGCCCCGACCACTGCACCCGGTTGGGTTTCGGATTGGGTCCCTACGACCGTGGGAAGAGGAGTGGGAACAGTATTACACTGAGGAGTCGGAGGATGACGACGACGACGAGTATCTGTTCCCTAACTCGTGGGGGCTCCCGGAGGAGTCCTCACGGGAAGAGGAGTGCCGACGACGGAGACCCGAGAGGCACCCCAAGGACATTTTGGGGGGGGGGGCACACGGTGTGGACGACGAGGCAGCAGGAGGCAGTGACAGGGCGGATCTGCAAGTTAGGAGAGGAGGCCACCATGTTACGGGGGCTATTGGTTCAGAGGGAGCAGGAGTTATTAGGTCAGAGGGAGGAGCTACAGGAGGCAAAAAGGGAGAAGTAAGGTGTAGAGGCACGGCGAGAGGAGCTGGTTAGGCAGCAGAAGGAGCGGGGGTTAATAAAGGAACCCAGTCCCGCTCCTCGCACCAAGAAAGTGGTGCGCGTTGCCAGCCCGGCCTGTTCCTGCCCCCAAGCGTGGTTGCGCGTCGCCAGCCCGGCCCGGCCTGTTCCTGCACCTCGCACCAAGCCAGTGGTGCGCGTCGCCAGCCCGGTCCGGCCTGTTCCTGCCCCTCGCACCAAGCCAGTGGTGCGCGTCGCCAGCCCGGCCCGGCCTGTTTCTGCCCCTCGCACCAAACCAGTGGTGCGCGTCGCCAGCCCGGTCCGCCCTGTTCCTGGCCCTCGCACCAAGACAGTGGTGCGCGTCGCCAGCCCGGTCCGGCCTGTTCCTGCCCCTCGCACCAAGCCAGTGGTGCGCGTCGCCGGCCCGGCCTGTTCCTGCCCCTCGCACCAAACCAGTGGTGCGCGTCGCCAGCCCGGTCCGGCCTGTTCCTGTCCATCGCACCAAGCCAGTGGTGCGCGTCGCCAGCCCGGCCCGGCCTGTTCCTTCCCCTCGCACCAAACCAGTGGTGCGCGTCGCCAGCCCGGCCCGGCCTGTTCCTGTCCCTCGCACCAAGCCAGTGGTGCGCGTCGCCAGCCCGGTCCGGCCTGTTCCTGTCCCTCGCACCAAGCCAGTGGTGCGCGTCGCCAGCCCGGTCCGGCCTGTTCCTGCTCCTCGCACCAAGCCAGTGGTGCGTGTGTCCAGTCCGGCACGGCCCGTGCCTGTCCCACCGGTGCCTGGTCCGGCACCGGTCAGCTGCTCCACTCCGGAGCCAGAGCAGTCCACTCCACCGGTGCCTGATCCAGCTCCGGTTAGCTGCTCCACTCCGGAGCCAGAGCAATCCGCTCCACCGGGGTCCAGTCCAGCTCCGGTCAGCGGCTCCACTCCGGAGCCAGAGCAGTCCGCTCCACCGGTGCCTGATCCAGCTCCGGTCAGCGGCTCCACTCCGGAGCCAGAGCAGTTCGCTCCACCGTCGTCGGGTCCAGCTCCAGTCAGCGGTTCCAGTCCAGACCCAGATGTCAGCCCCTCTCCAGGTTCGGGGTCTCCCACACCAGGGTTCAGACAGGGCTTGGTACTTCGTGGGAGGAAGGAGAGGGGAAGCAGCGCGCCGAGGTCCAGACCAGACCAGGGGCGCAACAGGGAGGTGGAGAGTAAGTGGTGGTCACGCCCGGAGCCGGATCCGCCTCCGAGGCGGAATGCCCACCCGGCCCCTACCCTGTTATGTTTATGTTGTGCGGTCGGAGTCCGCACCTTTGGGGGGGGGGTACTGTCACGCCCTGACTCTGGGGACTCGTATTTGTTGAGTCAGGGTGTGTATTTTCTGTGTTGTGTTTTGCTATGTTGATTTTCTATGTTTAGATCTAGTATGTGTAGATCTATGTTGGCCGGTGTGGTTCCCAATCAGAGGCAGCTGTAGCTCGTTGTCTCTGATTGGGGACCATACTTAGGCAGCCTATTGGCACTAGTGGGTTGTGGGATCTTGTTCCGTGTAAGGTATGTTGTTTGTGTGCTACCTTGGACTTCACGTATCGTTTGTTTATTGTTTTGTCATTGTGTTTATTCGTTAATAAACATGTATGCATATCACGCTGCGCCTTGGTCCGTCCCGTCTATAAACGATCATGACAGACACACACACACACACACACTCACACCTCTCATCTGTGCAGTGCCCTGGTTTTGGAGAGGTGTACAGGTTTGTCAGTAGCACTTTATTTTATTTTAACTTACCGTATATATCTACTTAGAGTACATGGTAGTAACCAATGTGTTGAATTCTGCTAAATGTGTAAAAACTAGTGGAAACAGGACTGTAAAATGCAGTGCTAGCGGACTGTCAGTCCATGTTGGTGTCAGTGGTGAGTGGAGATGTTGTTGTCAACTCCAGACACATCTGACTTCTGGTTGCATAATTCTATAGTAGGGAGGTCACCTTGATGGGCCGGGACCCACGGCAACTTTTTCCAGGGTTATAGTTAGGTCAGCCACTGCAGGCGGGTGGATAAATGAGCTCAGGGCTCCCATCATCCCCTAGGGCCTGAGGCTGGGAGAGGGGTCAGGTGTAGAGGTAGATGGAGAGAAATTGATAAACACAGGCACACTAAATACACACTTTTATTACACTAAGGTCACACATAATCCCTATTCACACGGGGACTAGTATTACTATAGAACATGGGTGTCAAACCCATTCCACGGAGGGCAGAGTGTCTGCGGGTTTTTGGTTTTTCCATGTAATTATTACCCCAGCATGTCCGTTTTTCCAGTGGACGATTCAGACGGGATCAGTTTGGCCAAACTGCACCTGTAATAATTTTTTTCCTCATTCAAAATTGACTGTTTTGACAGAAGCCTTGAGGCTCTTCTAGGTGTGACGAGATTTCAAATGTCTAGGGATACCCTGATATTGACCCAATGGCCTTCAGTTCGGAGAAAGTAATAATGCATATCAATAAGAACCATGAACTGTAACCTATGCAGACATTTAATTAACTGACATATTTGGCAATTTATCAATTCATTGGCACAATATCGTCCACTTCATCTTTTAAAAGAGAAGTATGGCTCTAGGAAAGTTGATTTGTGACAAAACTGATAATTAATCTGTAGGCTACGTGTATAGCACTTTGTTTTAAGCATCAATTTGTTCCCATGTTCTTACCCAAACTGGATGCAGCACCTGTTAAACTCTGTAATATCCCTCAAAAAACAGGGATGATGATTCGCACGGGACAGGTGTTATCAGTGGACCTGGGAGTTTGACCAAAAACACTAGGTTTTTGGGGCTGGGAAAATAATCTTCCTGCCAAGTAAAAATGACTGACATGGCAGATTCGGACAGGGACTAAAATTACGAATGTGGTGATTTGTGCTCGTGCACATAATTACATTACCTGAGCTCCCCCAGTAAAACGTATCCTTTCCAAATTGGGCTATACACACACCTTTTGACATTGACACACACACACACACTCAGCACTGTAGAACTCTCTCAGATTTTCAGGCCCACCCGGCACATTTTTACATTTTAGTCATTTAGCAGACGCTCTTATCCAGAGCGACTTACAGTTAGTGAGTGCATAAATTTTTCATACTGGCCCCCCGTGGGAATCGAACCCACAACCCTGGCGTTGCAAACGCCATGCTCTACCAACTGAGCTACACGGGCCCCTGTATCCAAACTGTAGCCATCATCACTCCCATTTTGTCACTGTGTTCAGTTTGACCGCTATGTGGCCATGACATGGACAAGTGTTTTATTTGTAGTATGAGTGTACTGTGTGTCATTGGGTTTGTATTTCAAGTTATTTACTGTCATTTAGACGTTGTGCTTGTCTGTAGCGTTTGTGTGCGGGCCGTGCATACAAGTCTTTTTGGTGTGTGTTTGCAGTGTAAGTGTGTTGATCTGTTTCCTGTCCCTCTCCTCTCAGGATGACTTCGATGTGGATGATGACATGACCATCAGAGAGGTGAGACCCTATTACACACTTTCTCTCCCTCTTTCTCCCTTTTCTCTCCCTTTTCTCTCAGTATGCTACAGTGTATTGATTGGGTATCAGGGGGATAATAAGTCACTGTGTATGAATAGCCTTATCAAAGCTGGAATCTCTATGGGCATCTATTATCTCTGCACCAGAGACCACAGCTAGACACTGTGTAGCCAAATAAAACAGGAAGCAACCTAGCCTTAACCCTCTAAAGTCAATGTCCGCGCCCCCTGCGGTGAAAGGTGACAGAGCTAGAGCGGTGTTTGTCAGACCATAAGACATCCCGAAAATCGGTCTTCTCACATAATTGTCTGTGGCGTCCGAACGGTTTGGCCTACAAACTATTATGACCCCTCTATGGAAAGAGGAGACTCTACGACCCCCACAAGCGTCTTGGGACTCGTTGGAAGTCGATACAGCCAAGCTGCCAACTTCTGTCTGTAGTGTCCAAACAGTATGGGCTACACACTAATATGACCCGGGGCAATGTGTGTATACGGCGAATATAGATGGCGAACCGACAGTGCCCCGAAGCTCTGTCTAAAACGCTAATACGTCTATATGTACAGTACCAGTCAACAGTTTGGACACACCTACTCATTCAAGGGATTTTCTTAATTTTTTACTATTTTCTACATCGTAGAATAATAGTGAAGACATCAAAACTATGATATAACACATAGGCAAAGCTGTCATCAAGGCAAAGGGTGACTATTTGAAGAATCTGAAATATAAAATATATTTTGATTTGTTGAACACTTTTTTGGTTACTACATGATTCCATATGTGTTATTTCATAGTTTTGATGTCTTCACTATTATTCTACAATGTAAAAAATAGTAAAAATAAAGAAAAACCCTTGAATGAGTAGGTGTGTCCAAACTTTTGACTGGTAGTGTATATATACCGTCTATTGAATGGGGTAGGAGAGGGATTGAGATTAGTGTTGGGGTTTGCAAAGTTATTTGGTTGATATTAGGAACAATTGGATTTTAGATTAAAGCTGAAATGCTTGGTGGTACGTCAATTTAAATAGTCTGAAATGTTTCCACTGATAAGCGCTTTAACTGTTTTATTCTCACCTTTGTTCTGAACATTATTCCATAATCTCTTTAATCTCAGGTGTTTCCCTTTCAACTGATACCATGCTTATTATGCATATCACTCTCATATTTGCTATGCTATTAGCATTTACATTTGAGGAAGCCCATATAGGTAACAATCACTGGAGTTTAAGGCGTTAATTTATACATTATTCCAAAAGGAATGTTTTTGTCTTCTGAAATATTAATGAATGCCTTACTGAATTAAAGATAAAAGCCATATCCATTCTTTCATCACCATGGATGTAAAGACCAATTAAGTATTCTATGTGTCTAAGAGGGTTTGAGTACTTCTATAATGTTTCTCTCCACTCTCCTCTTCATCCTCCTCTTCCTCGGGTTTGCAGATTGCAGAGTGGGAGGAGAACCAGCTTGACGAGCAGGTGAACTTTGACAACTGCAAGATCGACCCCGCCCCCTTCCAACTGGTGGAGCGCACCTCACTACATAAGGTCTGTCTGTCTGTCTGTCTGTCTGTCTGTCTGTCTGTCTGTCTGTCTGTCTGTCTGTCTGTCTGTCTGTCTGTCTGTCTGTCTGTCTGTCTGTCTGTCTGTCTGTCTGTCTGTCTGTCTGTCTGTCATACTGCTCAGTACAACCCCCTTTTGACTAAATAGCTCCAGAATTAATATTGTACAATGAGTATTGTAGATGGATAGTCCAGTGTTAATTCTCTTATAACCACTGCATTGCAAGCGCATGTGCACACACACACACACACACACACACAGGGGAGGCTTTTGAGCAGTGTTGATTTAGTTTTCCTACTGCGACACACACTCACATAGACACACACACACTCACATACATACACACTACAGAGCGTTTTTACACACACACACTCTCATTCTCACTTGCCTGGCAGGCCTAATGTCCTCCATTCATAATGCCCCCCACCCCCCCACCCCCCCACCCCCTCTTCTCCCCTCCTCAACTCCCTGCTCTGTGTGCCTGCTGTTTAAACATTTAAGAGTGGGATTTTGCACCAATCCATCAAGCTCTCCCCTCCCCCAACCTCCCTCATCGCACACTGCCAACACCCAATACCACATACAATCTCCCTCCACATATTAGTGTGTGCATTAGAGCTGGGAAGATAAACCGAAAAGGATCGAAACCGACCATATCGATCACTTATCACAGGCATTTTGCTGATGTCGTTCATTACGATAAGTAGCCTATACTAGAGAAATGTGAAGTTTATAATTAAATACGTTTGCTAATATGGGTGATTGTTAATGGGACAATTGATGGTAGTACATCCATCAAACTAGTCAGTGGTGTAAAGTACTTAAGTTGTTTTTTGGGGTATCTGTACATTACTTTACTATTTTATATTTTTGACAACTTTTACTTCACTACATTCCTAAAGAAAATAATGTACTTTTTACTCCATACCTTTTCCCTGACACCCAGATGTACTCGTTACATTTTCAATGCTTAGCAGGACAGGAAAATGGTCCAATTCACACACTTATCAAGAGAACATTCCTGGTCATCTCTACTGCCTCTGATCTGGCGGACTCACTAAACACAAATGCTTCGTTTGTAAATGATGTCTGAGTGTTTGAGTGTGCCCCTGGCTATCTGTAAAAAATATATATTATAATAATTGAAATTATGTATACTTTTGATACTTAACTATATATAAAAACAAATACTTTTAGAGTTTTACTCAAGTAGGATTTTACTGGGTGACTTTCACTTTTACTTGAGTCTATTAAGGTATCTTTACTTTTACTCAAGTATGAAAATTGATTGCTTTTTCCACCACTGAAACTAGTAGTAGTAGTTTAAAGGCCCAGTGCAGTCAAAAACATTGTATTTATATATACATATTATGAGGTTGGAATAATACTTTGTGTTAGAAAAGACAGCCTGAAATTTCAGCCTGTTTTGGTGGGATAGAGTTTTGGCCTTCCTGCCAATAACAGCTAGTTTTCAGTTTTCCCTCCCAGACAATCCTAGCAAAAAAATGCTCCTTGCTAAGAAGCTATTTTTTGTTTATTTTTGACAATTTTAATTGAAAACAATCACAGTAAGGTACCTAATTGTTACCCAGAAGTTATTTGATATTGAGATTTTAAAAAACAGCTGCATTGGACCTTTTAAATATCTTTTTTTTTTTTTTACTGTGGTACACATTCTCATAAACCTATCGTTCTATTTATCGTTTTTGCATCAATTCAGACAATTTATTGCTTGATGGATTTTTGTCCTGTGTGTGTGTGTGTGTGTGTGTGTGTGTGTGTGTGTGTGTGTGTGTGCAGGTGTAGGTGTGTGTAGGTGTGTGTGTGTGTGTGTGTGTGTGCAGGTAGGTAGGTGTGTGTGTGTGTGTGTGTGTGTGTAGGTGTGTGTGTACGTGTAGGCGTGTGTATCTAATGGACACTCATGTTTGTTCTCTTGCATCTGTCAGTCTGGGTGATGTGTGTTCCATGCTGCAGTATGTTTGTGTTTGTTTGTTTCCTGGTACATTGTAATGGAAAACTCCCATTGCATGAAATATTTAAATGACTAAGGTTGTTCTATTCCCTGTGATTTGGGTTTAGGCTCAAGCTGCTGTCTGTGTGGTTCACTTGACGTTCTAGCAGTTTACAATATCAGTAGGGATGTTGTACCTTTCCCAACAATCTAGCTCAGTGGTGCTCAAACACCTGATTACACTAATCAAGGTGATTACTTTTGATTACTTGCTGATTACTTAATTAGTTGAATGAGGAAGGAGCCTGCACACCATGCAGCTCTCCAGTGACCACTGAGCTGACTGTTCTAACTGCTGTAGTTTAATAGCTGCTCTAAGATTTTCACAGGAGGCTATGTCTCTAAAGGAATGTCAAAAGGGAATCTATGGTTGGTTGTGTTCTAGCGGTTTAAGGCGTTCGTTCCAACTGTTCTAGACATTGATTCTAACAGTTCTAGCTGTTGGTTATAAGTGTTCTAAATATTGGTTCTAAGTGTTCTAGCAGTTGGTTTCTAAGTGTATTGTTCTCTTGTCCCCAGACCCACACCATCTTTTCTCTGCTTGGGTTGGACCATGCCTATGTCACCAGCATCGGACGACTCATCGGAGTGGTCTCCCTGAAAGAGGTGAGTGACACGGATCACCTGGAGTTGACCACATCAACATGACACTGTCGCATTATCATCATCATCAATTACAGCATCATGACAGCCACCATCGTCATAACAATGTCCATCATCTTCCTCACTGTCACAATCATCTGCATAACGTAACGTTATGACTATAACTACTGTTCCCTGAAGGATGGAAACGAGGTACAACATACTATGGGGGTAGTCGCACTCTTGCGACTTCGGTTGAAGGAACTAAAATCAGGCCTGACAAGGCCAATGAAATCTGCGCCTCGCTGGAAGCCCCGCCTTCCACAGGTGATATGCGTGAGGCTCGGATTCATTCCTTCAATTGAATACCGCTCTTCACAAAGGCCAGGAACGTACGGTGTGGGGCCAAACAGGTGTTTTACCTCGTTTCCCTTCTTCAGGGAACAGTACTTATAGTCATAACCAATGTTCCCTCACATTTTCTGGGGACGGAAACTTGAACATTGAGAATTTTGTGCATCTTCCGGCGCAGTTTTAGACAGTAGCCAATAGGCTATTGTGGCTATTTGAGCATAATGTAGGCCTACCAACAAAACCAATGGAGCAAATCCCATATTATTTTCACATGGAAATAGCTTCTATGATATAGCCTACAGTAGCCTATATATGGTGTTCAATGCAGGCCTACATTGCATGAGACTTTTAAAAACGTTTTTACATTATTATTTTTTACTTGGCCTGTAACACCATGGGCCAAATAGGAGACTGTAAATTGCATTGTATGATGCAAAAAACACTTTAAAAAATATAATTAATTTTTATTACCATACAGATAATTATTATTACCATACCCTTACCCCACTGCCTATTGGCTTATTTGCATATTCAAGCCTGTCTCAAAATACAACACTGCCCCTTTAATTAAGACATAAGCTTTTTACCTGACTGGTTTTTCAAAGACAGCTGAAATGTAGCCTACACGTTTTGTGCTCTTGTAGGAAGCAGTAATTCCCCATTGCTGACCAATAAAGCTGGACTAATAACTGGCTAACTAGCAAAGAATATCAACAAATGCGCACACGTGCGGCTCTGATCTGGACTGAAAAGCGCATTCACTCGCGGGTGATTGAAAGACCGCTAGTGGCCTACCGTTGCCAATAGAATTCTACTCCGTTGCGCTCTGTCTCATCCTACAACAAAATAACAGACTCAATCTTGCAAAGTTAGATTTGTTTTGGTTTGTTGCATTGAAAAGGGGCTTGATATAATGTTGATTCGATCACAGAAAAAACTTGCGTTTCTGCCCGGCATGGCATTTTTTCTGTGCAGCAGTCCTGGAGGAAGTGCGCAGCCGCTCACGCGCGCACCTTAGAGGGAACATTGGTCATAACGTTACATTACCTTTCAGTCAGTCAACTTCGGTACAACATACTGTGGGGAAATGGAATCTTGCCCCATCAGACCCCAACGAATTTCATTGGCCCTGTCAGCCATGATTTTAGTTCCTTCAACCGAAGTCATGAGAGTACAACTCCCCCCATGGTACGCCAATAGTATGTGGACACCTGCTCGTCGAACATCTCATTCCAAAATCATGGGGATTAATATGGAGTTGGTCCTCCCTTTGCTGCTATAACAGCCTCCACTCTTCTGGGAAGGCTTTCCACTAGATGTTGGAACATTGCTGTGGGGACTTGCTTCCATTCAGCCATGAGCATTAGTGAGGTTAGGCACTGATGTTGGGCGATTAAGCCTGGCTCCCACTCGGCGTTCCAATTCATCCCAAAGTTGTTCGATGGGGTAGAGGTCAGGGCTCTGTGCAGGCCAGTCAAGTTCTTCCACACCAATCTCGACAAACCATTTCTGTATGGATCTCGCTTTGTGCACAGGGGCATTGTCATGCTGAAACAGGAAAGGCCCTTCCCCAAACTGTTGCCACAAAGTTGGAAGCACAGAATCGTCTAGAATGTCATTGTATACTGTAGCGTTAAGTTTTCCCTTCACTGGAACTAAGGGGCCTAGTTCAAACCATGAAAAACAGCCCCAGACCATTATTCCTCCTCCACCAAACTTTACAGTTGGCACTATGCATTCAGGCAGGTAGCATTCTCCTGGCATCCGCCAGATTCGTCCGTCGGACTGCCAGGTGGTGAAGCATGATTCATCATTCCAGAGAACGCGTTTCCACTGTTCCAGAGTCCAATTGCGGCGAGCTTTACACCACTCAAGCCGACGCTTGGCATTGCGTGTGGTGATCTTAGGCTTTTGTGCGGCTGCTCGGCCATGGTAATCCATTTCATGAAGCTCCCAACGAACAGTTCTTGTGCTGACGTTGCTTCCAAAGGCAGTTTGGAATCCGGTAGTGAGTGTTGCAACTGAGGACAGATTATTTTTACACGCTTCAGCATTCGGCGGTCCCATTCTGTGAGTTTGTGTGGCCTACCACTTCACTGCTGAGCCGTTGTTGCTCCTAGACGTTTCCACTTCACAATAACAGCACTTACAGTTTACCGGAGTAGCTCTAGCAGGGCAGTAATTTGACGAACTGACTTGTTGGAAAGGTGTCATCCTATGACGGTGCCATGTTGAAAGTCACTGGAGATTGCATGGCTGTGTGCTCGATTTTATACACCTGTCAGCAACGGATGTGGCTGAAATAGCCGAATCTACTAATTTGAAAGACTGTCCACATACTTTTGGCCATGTCGTGTATGTTGAACCGAAGTTGACTGACTCAAAGGGAACTGTCACCACCATCACACACACAGTCCACATTAATGAGCTCCTCTCTTTCTGGCCCTTCAATTGGTGACAGACAGTGAGACAAATTACTGGTTAATGTTCCTTGCAGTCTCTCCTCTGTCTCTTTTTTTTCTCTCTCTCTCTCTCTCTCTCTCTCTCTCTCTCTCTCTCTCTCTCTCTCTCTCTCTCTCTCTCTCTCTCTCTCGCTCTTTTCACAAACAAAACAGGCAGAAACACTCTGTCTTTGTAAAATGGGAGATTTTTGCTAAGCACAGTGTTGTTCCACTGGCTGACATTTAGGCCTTTTATTTGGTATTAGACAAGCAGACAAAAACAGCAGTGAGATAAGCCTCACCTCCCCTCGTCTCCTCGCCTCTCCTCTCCTCGCCTCTTGTCTCTGTCACATAGTACTACTGCATTCAGCTCTCCTTATGCCTCCTGATAACTGGATACACAGGGGAGGGTGTGTATGTGTGTGTGCGACCTGAGTCTCTGCTTAGAAACAGCTGTTGGCCAGACGTCTGTCATGGCTGGGGAATGAGAGGGATGGAGAGTATGACATGACGTCTGATCGGGGCTGTTGTTTGGTCCAATAAATGTTGAGTTCCATAACCATAAAATGTGTCCGTCTTTACTTTATTATAGGCTTGGGCAGTAACCAGATTGTCATACCTTCATACCGACCTTGTGCCATACCGGGATATTCGGTAATACCCCACTGAGCCTTTGTAATCTGAAGGTTAGCAATGCTAACAAGTACATGTCAAATCCCATAGAGAATGCTAACGAGCGCATTGCAAACGTTTTATACAGTCTCTGACCTAAAGTATTTGCAAGACAGACAACCCAGCTCATAAAGTTATACAAGTAACAAAAAAATGCTATTCACATTTAGCTGCACACACAAAACAAATATTAAACAGCAAGGGTCTTGATCCAGGAGGGGTTTCTCTGCTGTTACCAAGAGAAGCTTGATTTTGGAAGAAGCTAACTACGTAGTTAGATAGCTAACTAGCTACTAAATTTGCAAACCAAATGCACAACTGCAGAGCATTTAGCACATTTCAGACAGTTAACTTAATAGCTATAAGATATCTAGCTGGCAAACATTTAGTTGTGAATTCCATACTGTAACTAGATTACCTGGCGCGTGCTGCACAACAGTGAGTGACTCACAAGGCTCCGGTCTCTCGTCGTTTTGTGCTTGTAAACAAACACCACGTGACGTGACTGGGGACTACCGGTAAGCATAATGAAAAATTCATAATGAAAAATTGTGACCGGTGAAATGAAGAACGCAATCTTCTATCTCTTAAAGTATTGCATAAGTTGACAGCAGGTATTTACTTAAAAAGTAGCTACAAATATTCACATTTATTAAAAAACTTCAAAGAAATAGTTTAAATGATATTGACGGTATTGAAAAACCATCCCGTAGCCATTTCCAAATACCCCGGTATATGGTATACGGCCCAAGCCTTCTTTATTACCATGGTAGCATAGCCACACTCCCTATATTATCACCTAGAATCACCATAGCAACCACCCTGTAATATTGCCATGGTTAAACCTCACCATTCTGCTTTGGTCTACACATTGATAACACTGTCACTGTACAGATTGAACTGTCCTTTCTGATACTAAGCCTTACTTATTTTCAATCCCAAATTGACTGGTACTCAATAACTGTGACCCGTAGTCCCTAACAGGCTAGGGGTTGGGTTTGGATTGTTGACTGACTCTTCCTGTATTATCTCTGTAGCTGCGGAAGGCCATCGAGGGTTCTGTGGCGGTGAAGGGGGTGAAGGTGCGCCCCCCTCTGTCCAGTTTCCGGGACAGCGGCACCAGCGGCACCAGCAGCAGCAATAGCGAGAACGAAGCCACAGAGCTCCACAAGCTGTGGGACCGCCACAAGTCCATGTCCCTCCCCCGGGAGCACCTGGCCTCTGACTCTGATGAGAAGTCCCAGTGAGGGGGATGGGGACAGGGGGACGTTGACAGGTGTATGGGGACAGGTGGATGAGGATGGGGATGGGTGTGTTGGCGAGGAGGGTGGAGGAGTAGGAGGAGCGTAGACGCCCCCGCCTCAAAAAAAACAACCGTTGCTGCAACCTCAGGGCTTGGATCAATATTTAATTCTGGAATATAGAGTTATCTCCTCCTCCTCTTTCTCCTCTCCTAACCTTCCTCTCCATCCCTCTCTCCTTTACCCCTCCTCCCGGTGGGCCTTTGGGCCCTGCACTTACTCAACTCTTAAGGTGGAGGGATGGACTCACCCTGCTCTCACCCCAACCAGAACAGAAGAGATCTGGGTGTTAGGGAGGGGAGAGGCGAGATGGGTTAAGGTATCACTGCTTAACAAAGGTGGTCAGAACAAAATGTATAGAATGTTGTTTGACTATAAAAGGGATAGCATTTTTTTTTTTTTGCTGACTTGGGTATTGGTGAGGAAATATTCAAAGTTTGTTTGCATTTTGTGGACCTGTAAACGTTTCTTTCTGACCAGTCTTCCATATGCAGACGGTTCAACGGTGATAAGAGGATAGGCTTGTGTACCGGTATGGATGTTAGTGTGAGTGTATGTATTGAGTGCATGGACGTATTGGTTTGTCTGTATTTAGACAAAGGCGGTAGCGAAACCAACCTTCTGCTTTTCTTACTTTGTGATTTTAATCTTATCAGACACATTTCAGTCTTATCATTCCTGCTCTGTTCTATTTTGTTCCCATCTGGTTTAGTGACCTGGAACTGTAAATACGTATGGAAGGAAGCCTAGTGGTTAGAGCATTGGCCCAGTAACCAAAAGGTTGCTGGTTTGAATACCCGAGCCGACAAGGTGAAAAATCTGTCAGTGCCCTTGAGCAAGGCGCTTAACCCTAATTTACTCCAGGGGTGCTGTACTACAATGGCTGACCCTGTAAAACAACACATTTCACTGCACCTCTGTATGTTTTTGTTGTATTTTTTCACCTTGCCTCTGTAGAGAGAACCACATACTGTTCTAGTCTCACATTGGGAGACATCTTCACCACTCTCTCTCTCTTTCTCTGTGTTGCATTAGTGAGTCTGGGTGAGATAATAGTCTACTCTATGCAAACAGATGTACAGTATGTATGTAGGTATTCTGTAGAGTGGTGAAAGCATGTGTAAACACAATACCTTTCAGCATGCTTCAACACACATGCTGTGAACTCTTTAATAAAACATGGCCTCAAACACACACACACACACATATACACACACACAGGTTTTAATAAGAGCCAGTCTGCACACTCCAAGAGAAGAGGGTTTTCTCTAAATATAGCTCTTAATAACCCTGACTGAGTGTGTTGGGCTAGAGAGGGAGGGAGGGAGGGATGGAGGTTTTGAAGAGAGGGAGGGATGAAGAGAGGAAGAAGAAAGGGGGAAGAGAGAGAGTGAATGGAAGGCTGAAAGATGACAGAATGAAAGCTTTTTCTGTTATTTAAGTTGCTGCTTTAGGGTGTTTTTCTTCAATAGAACTCAGGGTAGCTTTCTGGTTCACATCGCCAATGAAATTGTTCATTGTCCAGTAACACTATGGTGATCAGAGTAAGGTCAGACCAAATAGAACAAGTTTGATTAATGCTGACCAGTAGCTAACTGATTGAAACTAGATATCTGAACTAACTGACCAATGACAAACACTACAGCCCATCCATACTGACCAATAAAAAGCTGTCAGCATTACCGATCAGTGATCTATACATGACCAATGATAAAGCACTCCATTCCTACTACAGTATGAGTTATCAATAGGCCTACTGATGTATAGAGCAGCCTAGAGGAGGTCTGGTTAGATGGTTAAGAATCTGACCTCTGCTTTTTACTTATTCATGTATTTTCCTCACAACAGTCTCTGGCTTAATGTGCTGCATATTTTCCTTAGTCATTTGATTGTATTTAACTATTAATTATGTTTTGCTTGGTGATAGAAGCTCCATACTGCACAAGCCCAGTGTGCAGCTTCCAATCAGATCTCAGAAACACTCCCTCACTGAATTGTGGGTATACAAATATCTATATATATATATATTTTGTAAGTATGGCTACTACTCGTTTTCTTTCAGTCTTTCTTGCTCACTCTCGCTTTGATTGATTGATTGATTGATTGATTATCAGGCAGGGTTCATTTTGTGGCTTCTTTCTTCCTCTCTTCTTTGTAATGTTTTCACTGAAAGGCCTGATGCCTCTGAAAAGGACTGAGCAGAGTCACTTCCTGTGTCAAACACTCCTTCCACCTGCAGTTGTTGTTATTTTGATTTTACTGTTGTTTTCTCCCAGTGACATCAAGATTTCTGCTCACATATGCAAGCTGAGAGCATCTGACTGTGGTTATACACATTCAGGTGCCTTATTCAGTGCCACATTGAACAAAGTACAAACACACACACACACACACTGACATTTCAACCACCTGGATGTGTTATTGCATGAATATATTTTATTTTCAGTGGTGAGTTATTGTCTTGTTCACTGCCACTGAAAAGAAAAAACACACACACACTAACATCTTCACAGACTGACATGCCCATCCTGACATGCAGAGAGACACTCACACACCTTGAATGAAGGCATGGCTTTGCATGAAATAGTGCATGTGACGTTGAAGGCTGTGTTTTTATATTGATCAGAAAAAGCTTGAACAAAACATATGAGGAGAAATATGCTGTTGTGTTTATCATTGTAATGGACAATGTCATGATGGTGATGATGATGATGATGGTGATGATGATGATGATGATGATGATGATGATGATGATGATGATGATTGTGATGGTGATGATGATGATGGCTATCGGTTGAATATGTTGTTTTTATCCTCACTTATTTTCTATTTTTTCTCATTGAATTAATTTTGATCTAGGTTTGATTGGCATCATGCATTCATTCAATGAGCTTTAATCATGGCTTATTTTGGGAAAGAGGACAGGGCTTTTTGGGGATGCGTGAATTTAAAACTTTGCTATAGGTTTACAGATTTAATATATTTAACATATCAATGCTGTAATATATTATCATTCATTTAAAATCTAACTGATTGTCATTGCTATCTATCGAGTTGTTCCTGCAACTCCTTTTTAGTTTTTGTTGCGTATTGCTCTTCCGTGTCTGATTGTTATAAAAAGGTCCAATGCTCAATGTTTTTCCAACCTTGCAGCATGTCCCCAACATTTCTACATTGTTTATATATGTAATTTGTATAATGCAAGTAACACTATAACGCTAGCAGAATGAGACCCACTACCTGAAGTAGCAGGAACATTTAAAGAATGTTTAAAGGACCCATGGGTGTTCTAATGCTCTGTGGTCCGTATGACATCATCATTTCACAAGTGCCTACATCCTCTCAGGCCTCTGCATGGTAACAGGGGTAGGATAGGTTTTCTCTGTAAATCAACGTGAGAAGTTTAAGGGATAGAAATGACTACCCATGTTTCTGCATTTGATAGTAGTCATACACACACACTCACACAGAGGAGGAGGATGATGTGTCAGTGCAGTGTGCAATTATCCCTAATCACCATGGCAACTCGCCTTTGTCATTCCCCAAGCTTGTTGAAGGGAGCAGCAAAAATACACACGTTTGATTTGCTTTAGTTTAGTTTTATTTAGTTATTTTTTGGATGGGTTTTTCATTATTTTGTGTTTCTCTGAAGTCACTCATCGTTTTCCTTTTCCTTGCTTTATGACATCTCATTTGCTACCAGATAGATATATTAGGGCAGGCACATATTTATTAATAGAAGAAGAATATGTGATTTTTTGTTTATTAGGTAATCAACTTGTGCAATAACGATTGTTCATCTCACTTTCTAACCAGATTTTAATCTATGACTTGACATGAATGCTAGAACCTTATTTTTGTAAAGAAATTGAAAAATGTAAAACAATATGTATGTGTAAGAGGGAAACTAATGGACGCACAGGTGTGTGTGTGTAGACGTTAAGGAAAGAAGGATGGTTTGTGTGTGTGTGTGTGTGTGTGTGTGTGTGTGTGATGACATACACACACACACACACACACACACACACACACACTGTCTGTTTGGTCCCAGGGCATTTCTGGATTCTGCTGCTTGAACTGTAGTCGTCTGACTCTGGACTGTATGATGTGTTATAGGCCCACTACGGAAACCCACTGGTGTCAAACCAGACAGACCTTAACAAGTCCAGTGCTATTTTTCACAAGAACAAATAAAACAATGTTTTGTATATCAGGGATGAATAAAGAGATTTTAACAAATGGGAGTCTAGAATCTTGGTCATCCTAAGATCTTCCTTTCCCTCGTCCTTCCTCTTTTTCTCTCATCCCCCTCTCCTCTCCTCTCCTCTCCTCTCCTCTCCTCTCCTCTCCTCTCCTCTCCTCCCAAGAAGCTGTAGAACAGCAACTGGTCTTTTTTTCTATCGCTCTTGTTCTTTCCCTCTGCAGTGTGTTTGTTGTTAAAAACATCTGTTTTTCGGGGTGAAATACCATCTGTACTGAAATAGGCAGATAAATGCTTAATTATAGCTAAATGGGTTCATTCATTAAGTGGGCTTCTCTATCCTTTGGCGGGCTTCAGGGGTGAAAAGTATACTTATCTCCCTGTGGAGTCCATCTTCTCTGTCTGTGTTCCAGACAGCTGTGCAGTAGAGTAGGGTGAGTTTTAAAGTGCCGTGCCCCTGCTGTTCCAGATGAGATTACAGTCCCATCTCTGACGCCTTGTTCTGAATTATGTCCCAGTGTAATCTGTAATCCCTGTAATCTGACCAACAGTCAACACTGCAATCTGAGATGAGACCCAACACTGACCAATCCTGTTAGAGATTTGGATTATTCATGTCTGTCTGTCTGTCTGTGTGTGAGAGAAACAGAGAGTAAGTGTATGAAGGAGAGAAAATGACTAAAATGTAAATGTAAAATGGTCCAAAACAAAACGGCTATCTGTGTTTTTTACCCATCTTCTGTAGTTTAATGCCTTACAAGTCGTTTGTATTGCGGTGGTGGTGCCGGTGTTAGTCCTTGATGGAGGTGCTGGTGCCGGTGCTAGTCCTTGATGGAGGTGCTGGTGCCGGTGCTAGTCCTTGATGGAGGTGGTGGTGTCGGTGCTAGTCCTTGATGGAGGTGCCGGTGCTAGTCCTTGATGGAGGTGCCAGTCCTTGATGGAGGTGCCGGTGCCGGTGCTAGTCCTTGATGGAGGTGCCGGTGCTAATCCTTGATGGAGGTGGTGGTGATGGTGCTAGTCCTTGATGGAGGTGCCGGTCCTTGATGGAGGTGCTGGTGCCGGTGCCGGTGCTAGTCCTTGATTGAGGTGGTGGTGACGGTGCTAGTCCTTGATGGAGGTGGTGGTGCCGGTGCTAGTCCTTGATGGAGGTGGTGGTGACGGTGCTAGTCCTTGATGGAGGTGGTGGTGCCGGTGCTAGTCCTTGCTGGTGGTGGTGCCGGTCCTTGCTGGAACAGCTGTACACATTCTCAACACAACCACTTTGAGTTTCATCTCCTGTCCCAGGCGATGTGGACTTCATATTGATTAATAATACATGAAGGTGTCACAGCAAAGGTCCTCCTCCCCAGCTCGGCAGAGAGTGAGGAGGATACAAGGGGGGGATATTTTAACTGTGACTCATAGTCAGACAGGTAGATTGATGAAATTGCTGCTAAAAAAAGTGCAGATGGCTCTATGAAGATAGTTTCCCTGAGCAAACTAAAATCTGTCTGACTTACGACTCTGATACTGTGTGTGTGTGTGTGTGTGTGTGTGTGTGTGTGTGTGTGTGTTTGAGAGAGCGAGAAGCTAGGAGAGCGGAGATGAAGTATGACAAGCATGAGATTTCTTTTTGCTTCTCTTAAAATCTTGTCAGACCAATTATCATCCAGGATATTACTGGCTCTATGGCTCTGGACAAGTATTCATTGTTGTCAGGAAACGCGCAAGAAATAGCTAGTCACTTATTCATGAACAGAGCTCTCTCTCTCTCTCAGTATGGAGTTTCTTTGGGGTGGTCTGTCCGTAACCTGGTCTGGACTTTTTGACCAGGGTGCACTGTGTGTGTATGTAATAAACCAAACCACATGGTACTTACTTTAATATGGTGCAATGTTAATGATACATTTTGTATTTTGATACATTTTCTTTATAAAGATCATACATTTATTCATTCAACAACAATCAACATCAACACCTAAACAAATAAAAAATAAACTGAAATCAAATCATCAATTTTTTATCGATATCGTTTCAGGACATCACATCTCTTTTTCATATAAAACTGGAGGGTGAAAATAGAAAACCATCTGAAGTCAGTCTAAAAGGTCAGAGGCGTGCCTCGGAGCGCTATGCGGGGGGTGCAGGGGGCTCCAGCACCCCCATAGTGGGCTTCCTCCTGACACTGACCACCAGCATGCCCTCAGGGGTCAGCGTGCCACTTATCGACAGGGGGTCCATGTCCGTCGGGAGCATGGTCTTATGGGTAAACGTATCACTGACTCTCCCATTCTCCAACACCTGAGGGAGAGAGGGTAAGCGAGTGGAATGAGGGAGGAAGAAAGATGGAGGAAGAGGCCAAGTTGAGGGAAAGAGAAATAGAAGAGGGGGATGACGGAGAGGGCAAGCAGAGAGGAGTAAAGGAGAGATGGAGAGGGAATATAATGAAGGAGGGTCAAGGAAGGGGGTTGGTGAGAAACTGAAGTAGAGAGAGGTCCGTACATACAGATCTGCTATCTTTTGATCAGTCTGTTGTCGTAGCAGGAAATGCAAATTGTAGTGTATTCTACGTTTTTAAAAAGGCTTCTAAAGTTTTGTAATTTCCACTTAACAATGTCAGACTTTATTTGCCCTAATGAAAAACATATCAATCCCTACAAAAATGTCCCTTAATTATAATCCACATAATAATTTCCATTTTCTGTTGCTGCAGGAGAAGCAGGGTCAAATTAAGATGTTGGGGAGCTGAGATCAGGCAGAGGATTACAACAAACAGTTTTGACCAGAGATCATTGTTCCTTTAAGCAGGGCTTTGGGGCTGCATGGGGAATGGTTGTAGGTTTTATTAAGTGGTTCTCTGGCTTGTTAAAGAGGAGCTCTGACATGGTTGCCTTACAGCCTCAACAGCAAGAGCCCTAGTGACATTATAAAGTACAGTTAATGGTCAGATATACAGTGGGGAGAACAAGTATTTGATACACTGCCGATTTTGCAGGTTTTCCTACTTACAAAGCATGTAGAGGTCTGTCATTTTTATCATAGGTACACTTCAACTGTGAGAGACGGAATATAAAACAAAAATCCAGAAATTCACATTGTATGATTTTTAAGTAATTAATTTGCATTTTATTGTATGACATAAGTATTTGATCACCTACCAACCAGTAAGAATTCCGGCTCTCACAGACCTGTTAGTTTTTCTTTAAGAAGCCCTCCTGTTCTCCACTCATTACCTGTATTAACTGCACCTGTTTGAACTCGTTACCTGTATAAAAGACACCTGTCCACACACTCAATCAAACAGACTCCAACCTCTCCACAATGGCCAAGACCAGAGAGCTGTGTAAGGACATCAGGGATACAATTGTAGACCTGCACAAGGCTGGGATGGGCTACAGGACAATAGGCAAGCAGCTTGGTGAGAAGGCAACAACTGTTGGCGCAATTATTAGAAAATGGAAGAAGTTCAAGATGACGGTCAATCACACTCGGTCTGGGGCTCCATGCAAGATCTCACCTAGTGGGGCATCAATGATCATGAGGAAGGTGAGGGATCAGCCCAGAACTACACGGCAGGACCTGGTCAATGACCTGAAGAGAGCTGGGACCACAGTCTCAAAGAAAACCATTAGTAACACACTACGCCGTCATGGAATAAATCCTGCAGCGCACGCAAGGTCCCCCTGCTCAAGCCAGTGCATGTCCAGGCCCGTCTGAAGTTTGCCAATGACCATCTGGATGATCCAGAGGAGGAATGGGAGAAGGTCATGTGGTCTGGTGAGACAAAAATAGAGCTTTTTGGTCTAAACTCCACTCGCCGTTTTTGGAGGAAGAAGAAGGATGAGTACAACCCCAAGAACACCATCCCAACAGTGAAGCATGGAGGTGGAAATGTCATTCTTTGGGGATGCTTTTCTGCAAAGGGGACAGGACGACTGCACCATATTGAGGGGAGGATGGATGGGGCCATGTATCGCAAGATCTTGGCCAACAACCTCCTTCCCTCAGTAAGAGCATTGAAGATGGGTCGTGGCTGGGTCTTCCAGCATGACAACGACCCAAAACACACAGCCAGGGCAACTAAGGAGTGGCTCCGTAAGAAGCATCTCAAGGTCCTGGAGTGGCCTAGCCAGTCTCCAGACCTGAACCCAATAGAAAATCTTTGGAGGGAGCTGAAAGTCCGTATTGCCCAGCGACAGCCCCGAAACCCCGAAGGATCTGGAGAAGGTCTGTATGGAGGAGTGGGCCAAAATCCCTGCTGCAGTGTGTGCAAACCTGGTCAAGACCTACAGGAAACGTATGATCTCTGTAATTGCAAACAAAGGTTTCTGTACCAAATATTAAGTTCTGCTTTTCTGATGTATCAAATACTTATGTCATGCAATAAAATGCAAATGAATTACTTAAAAATCATACAATGTGATTTTCTGGATTTTTGTTTTAGATTCCGTCTCTCACAGTTGAAGTGTACATATGATAAAAATTACAGACCTCTACATGCTTTGTAAGTAGGAAAACCTGCAAAATCGGCAGTGTATCAAATACTTGTTCTCCCCACTGTAGCTGTAAAATACAGATGCCGTGTCTTAATTTGATCATCCTGTTGTTGCAGGAAATGCAAACTTGTAGTGTATTTGAGGTTGAAAAAGGCTTCTAAAGTTTAATGTCCACTTTAAAATGTCAGACTTGATTTGCCCTAACAAAAATGTGTCAACCCCTACAAAAACTGTCCTTTCATTATAATATACAAAACAAATCACATTTCCTGTTGCTGCAAGATTATTTTACTGCTGTAGCAAACTGGCTCAAATTAAGATATGGCATCTGTATACAGCTCTCCTATAGCCTAACCCTTCAATGGGATTCACACTTCTCCCTCATCATCCACCAGTACACAATAACCAAGCACATCATTAAACAGGACACACACTACACTACACACACACACAAACCACACACTCACACACACGTCATTGCACTTATCATTTGTACCTACAGTGTGCACACAGACACATCCGCTTTCAATAATGGGTACCCACACATACACACTATGCCCTTCACACACTCTCACCTTTTCAGCGTGGATGACTATGTTGTGGTTGTAGGCCATCACCACTATGTCCTGTGGTTGAAACTGACTGACGTCAGCTGACATGTAGTAACTACCCCCAACAATCTGACCACGCCCATACTGGCAGAACGACCTGGCACAGTGCCACTTGTTGGGCCTGGAGGGAAGAGCAGACAAAACAGTGAGTGGAGACATTAATATATTTATTTATTCAACTCTTATTTTCTTGCTCTCATTAACATCACAAACTTGGGGAAGAATAAAACAGGGCAAGAGAAAATATATAAAAGAATTAAGGGAAAATATGGGTGATTTAAAGTTTATTATCCAGTCCTTGGGGGAGGATATATTTTATTTGGAGACAACTGGAGAATACAGGCCATTCAAGCTCATGAGTGATCAAGGATTCAGATTTGGAACATAAAGCTCATTTAATGCCCATCTGGACAGGAAAGAACCTGAGTGGTATACTACGAAGCAAGCTAGATCTACTCAGGCTTTTATAAAGCTAGCCAGCTTCAGTTCGCTTCACATTCCAGGTCAGCAGGGCTGGATCAAGGCATAAGCAACATAAGCGGTTGCTTAGGGATACTGGCCACTAGGGGGCCCCCGAATCCCCCAAAAAACTCATTTTAGGTGTACGTTAGAAATGTAGTTGTGCATCAGCAGTTTTTCTCTTGTTTTGTCAGTCACCGACAGTCACTCAATTAGCCATGTCAGCTAACAATTTTAGATTGGTAAATTAGTCTAGCCAGTTACCTAAACTTGTAGTAATCATGGCTGAATACCGACCGGGCACTCAGAACACGTACCCAGGGGCCCTGACCTCCAGTGGGCCCCCATTTGATTTTGTTGGTCACTCTCACGCAGATATCATTGACATGGCAAAATGTGTAGAATTTCAGAAAACTTGCTTTAAAACTGCAATCTTTTCTCTATGCCCCAAGCCAAATGTGTAGAATTGCATGAAATTAACTTCTTTTTTTTATGTATCTCCGCTGTGAATAGGGGAGCCGCTTGGTGGGGGGGCCAGGTCAAGCTTCATCCATACTACACAGTGGATATTGCTCCTCTGCCTGTCACTAACTCTAGAAGGCTCGTAACTGCGCGTGCATGTCGCACATGGCTAGTCAAACGCCAAAATCTTCATTGAGACAATGCTGAAACATTAATCCATGAGCGAGTCAGTGCCACATTTTCATTTGTTCCAAAATCAAAGAAAGGTTATCTAGGCTTTTATAAATGCCATGTTTATTTTATTACTTATCTTTAATGCAGTCTTTGGTGTGCTTTAGTGTGCTTATCAATGCATCTTTCTCCCACTCCTATCGCTCCTTCTATCTGTAGAACAGCTTGTTGCATTGTGGCCATATACATATAATCCATAGAAGGGTTTTGGAACCTCTAAACCTGGCAATTTGACTATTAAACTCATGGGTGCACTAGCAATGGCAGTCAGTCTTGACTTGAATGGGAACTGCCACTACACTCAGTGGACAGTTTTTTAGGTACACACATCTAGTACCAGGTCGGACCCCCCTTTGCCTCCAGAACAGCCTGAATTCTTCGGGGCATGGAAACGTTGCTCAATTGGTATCAAAACATTCCCCACACCATTACACCACCGCCACCAGCCTGTACCGTTGACACCAGGCAGAATGGGGCCATGGACTCATGCTGCTTACGCCAAATCCTGACTCTGCCATCAGCATGACGCAACAGGAACCAAGGATGTTTTTCCACTCCTCAGTTGTCCAGTGTTGGTGCCGCTTCTTCTTTTTTTTAGCTGATAGGAGTGGAACCCATTGTGGTCGTCAGCTGCAATAGCCCATCCGTGACGAGGACCGATGAATTGTGTGTTCCGAGATGCAGTTCTGCACACCACTGTTGTACTGCGCCGTTTGTGGCCCGCCTGTTAACTTGCACGATTCTTGTCATTCTCCTTCGACCTCTCATCAACAAGCTGTTTTCGCCCACAGGACTGGCGCTGACTGGACGTTTTTTGTTTGTCGCACCATTCTCGGTAAACCCTACACACTGTCGTGCTGGAACCGAGGCTTGTTTGAGATGCTGCTTTTTCTACCAGCATACATGTAACTGCACCTGGAACCGACGATCATACCACGCTCAAAGTCACTTAGGTCACTAGTTTTGCCCATTCCAACGTTCAACAGTAACTGAATTCCTTGATGCCTGTCTGCCTGCTTTATATAGCAAGCCACAGCCACGTGACTCAATGTCTGTCGGAGCGAACCATTTTCATGAAGGGGGTGCTGTACCTAATAAACTGGCCACTGAGTGTATGTCTATTACAGTGTATGTCTGAGGTTGGTTGCAGCTGTCATTTGCCTTTTGCAAATGTCAAAATATAATCCTGTGAAAAACGTGCAGTTTGGAAAGCAAATTCTGTCATTACTAAATGTGTCGTGATAGGTATTTTAATGTTACACATTTTTTTACACACTAAAATATATTTTTAATAATAAAATATTTAATCAGTCCTTTTCCTCAAATGAAGGGGATGATGACACGATCTTTGCGAGAGGGAGGGAATCTGATTTCATTGGTCCTCAACTTGTGACAGACACTTCATTCAGGACAAATGGAGTTAGCCCTGAGTTATGCCGCGTTCAAAACAACTGGGAACTCAAACATTTTTTTACTCCAACTGGGAAATATTGTTTTAGAACTGTCATTCAACTCGGAATTCCAAACTCGAGCACCGTTTATCGCCAGTGCTAACATGCGTCCTTTGACCCGATTGTGTCCACATGCTGATTGTGCCCACCTTTGCAGACAGGTGTAGATTATCAAAATACACATTATGATCTGATTGTGATCAGATCTGATTGTGATCAGATCTTCCTGCCCACCTGCGGAGGTAGTCAGGCACACATCGTGTCTGGATATCTCACAAGTGTAAATGGATCTGGACAGTGAAACCGTTTAAATCATCCTTATTCCGCCTAAAATCACTGACAGGTGGCACTATTGATCTATGACATCAACATGTATTAAAATAAACAAATCAATATTATTTTGAAAGAATATCTGTCAAATAATTTTCATACAGGGAGGTACCAGGAAATCTGGTCACAATGCGGACACAGTGGACAAATGAGAGACACGTTTTAATACCATGTGTAGATGCATATCTGAAAATGTGGGCACAATCAAAATGTGGACAAGATCAGGACACAGGACACATTTTAGCGCCAGGTATAAACAAAGCTAAAATGTCAGTTCACTTGTGGTTACAGTTGATTAATATTATGAAGAATTTGGCAGTAGAGATTGGACCAAGCCTCCCTGTCATATAAATGTTGATACCAAAGACTTACTCATAAATGTTGTTGTTTTTTTGTGTTTTTTTACATATTCACTTTATTATTTACAACATATTTTCTATGTAAGACAGAGAACAATATGAAAGTAAACACATTCATATTTCCTGATATATTTCACAATATTGTTTAATAATCATTTTGATTTGGGTTATTAGACATCCAGTAGCATCACAAAGTCCATAAACAAAGTCTTTAAAGCGATCGTTATAATAAAATGAAGTGGTGAGAATCACAGAGTCTCAGAGACACTCCATATTGTATGTTTATGGCTCTGAGGGAGCTCCTTTAGTTTTATATTCCCTCTTTGGCATTTTAGCACCAATGAGAGTTTCACTGCCTCGACACTGTCCAACACACAGGCCCCTCATATTGCCTATTAGAGCACTTTAGCAAAGACACTGGGGACGGGCTGGAGCCACAATGGCAGTTCATACATTCTGACAGTGAGACTTTACAGTAGACATCACCCACTGTTCTGGTTCATTATCTTGTTTGAGATGCTGCTTTTTCTACCAGCATACATGTAACTGCCACAGTCTCTAGCACCTTCTGGGTCATTCCACAAATACAGTGCCCTTTGATGTTTTAAGTAGAAATTGTGCTCCTATATTGATTTTTAAAAGCCTGTTATATTAAATTAAGTGCCCTATAATATAAACCACATGATAAATGTAATAAATCAGATATTTTATATAAATAAAGATTTGCTAAAGTGCCAAAAATCAGCATTTTGACATGTCCCACTTATAGGAAGATTTTAACCCACTTAACCCTTACGTTTTCATTATCATTGTAATGCCCTAGTTGTTCTGTTGCTTTGACAAAGTCATTTCTGAAGATTATTATTTATTTCATGTGATTAGGGATTCATTTACATTCCCTCATTTAAAGGACAAGTTCACTTTTTTTTGGTAATGGCATGTTATAAAAGTGTTCAGACAGGTTTTTTTGCGATTTCACTTGGTTTTGAGAAACTTAACCCATCAGCAATAGACTTCCTTCCTCAGACTCGTTCTGCTGTATGGGGGCCCGAGTGCGAGCATGCCCATGTCATTTCAATGTGCGAGCATGCCCATGTCATTTCAGTGTGCGAGCATGCCCATGTCATTTCAGTGTGTGAGCATGCCCATGTCATTTCAGTGTGCGAGCATGCCCATGTCATTTCAGTGTGCGAGCATGCCCATGTCATTTCAGTGTGCGAGCATGCCCATGTCATTTCAATGTGCGAGCATGCCCATGTCATTTCAGTGTGTGAGCATGCCCATGTCATTTCAGTGTGCGAGCATGCCCATGTCATTTCAATGTGCGAGCATGCCCATGTCATTTCAGTGTGTGAGCATGCCCATGTCATTTCAGTGTGTGAGCATGCCCATGTCATTTCAGTGTGCGAGCATGCCCATGTCATTTCAGTGTGTGAGCATGCCCATGTCATTTCAGTGTGTGAGCATGCCCATGTCATTTCAGTGTGCGAGCATGCGCATGTCATTTCAATGTGCGAGCATGCGCATGTCATTTCAATGTGCGAGCATGCGCATGTCATTTCAGTGTGCGAGCATGCCCATGTCATTTCAGTGTGCGAGCATGCCCATGTCATTTCAGTGTGCGAGCATGCCCATGTCATTTCAGTGTGCGAGCATGCCCATGTCATTTCAGTGTGCGAGCATGCGCATGCATTCTCGTTTCTCATATCACCAAAATGGGAAGGAGAACAAAGGGCATGCTTGCACATGGAAATGTATCACTCGAGTCCAACAAAATGGAATATAATGTTTCGGATAAAGTTTGGAATTACACCATTTGTGTGTACAACATCTACACTGAGAGCTTTGACGTTTCTAAAATGACATATTTGGGTGTTTTTGGAGCCTTTGTTCATGTTTTATCCGTGGCCCCCATACTGCAGAACGAACCTGAGGAAGTCTATCGCTGGTGGGGGAAGTTTCTCAAACGCAAGTGAAATTGCAAAACAAGTGTCTGGACACTTCTATAAAATGCCATTTAAATCGAAAATGTTGATTTGGTTAAAAAAAAAGTGATCTTTAAAGGTCAACCCTGTTACTTTAACAACTCTTGTTTTAATAAGGTAAAACTATTTTTAAAATTATTTTTTCAAAAGAAACATTGGACATGTAAGAGTCAAATCATAGTGTAAAAGCAGGTGAGCTAGTTCTACTCTTTTTGTGGTAGAAAACTGAGCGTGTTGAACATAACTAGTCAACCATAGATAGATGGGCTAGAAATGTTTTAACAAGTTAAATTTTTTGGTTAAGCTTGCCTTCAATTGTCCTTCCCTGTTGCCCCTCAAGGGCACAGCGACAGATGTTTTAACTAGTTGGCTCTGGATTCGAACCAGCAACCTTTTGGTTACTGGCTCAGTACTCTTAACCGCTCATAACCACTAGGCTACCTTTCACTCAAGGTGTAGGAGCCTAGCCCTGGGTAGCTCCCGCTCCATTTAACCACCGCTTACCGTTGATGTTATTCTACCCAAACCCCCCCACTCACCTGGGTAACCCGTAGGAGTCCTTGTGGTGTCGGCTGAAGGGGGCCAGACAGGGGGGCTACATCCCCCTCCTCTCCAAACAGGCTTTGGGGGTCCCACCCCTGCTGCCTCCAGGAAGGGATCAAACAGGGGGTCCGCAGCCCCACCACCAGATCCCTCTGACCGGTAGGTGCTGGAACTGCTGTAGCGGGCTGACGAGTGGTACGAGGAAGAGGAGGAACGGCTGGATGAAGAGCTGGTCAGAGCCATGGTGAGAAGTGGTGTCTAAAACACACACACACTGAAACTACAACTCACTCAGTAAGATTATTTTACTACTAAGTTCTTGTCAACACACCAAGACAAAGCTGGTGGCTCTGTTGTCATTTAGAATCAGCCCAGGCACACTTCAGAAGTCAGTCATTCCTTTTTCCCACTGCACACACACTGACACTGAGCTCTCTGCTGTCTCTCTGGGTGTAATTTAACAAAGGCCCAAAGCATTCTGGGAAAGAGGCGTGCTGTGGCCCCAATGTGTAGCCGTCTTTTCTCCTTGCAAAGTGGTGTGTCCAGCGATGGTGCCGTGAATAACGGTAAGAGATAAGAAGTGGTGTGGCCAGCGATGGTGCCGTGAATAATAATAATATGCCATTTAGCAGACGCTTTTATCCAAAGCAACTTACAGTCATGTGTGCATACATTTTTACGTATGGGTGGTCCCGGGGATCGAACCCACTGCCCTGGCGTTACAAGCGCCATGCTCTACCAATTGAGCTACAGAGGACCACGGTAAGAGATAAGAAGTGAAACCCTCCTCACACACACACACTCAACCCTAAGTGACATAGAGATTAGTGAGCCAAGGGGTGTTTTAGATATGCGTTAGAGATAACAGAATGAGAACAACAGGTTGAAAAGGTTGTGGGAACATTGTGCGAACTTTGCTTTGTAACTGTCGTCTGACCATCATTACTCTTGGATGCTATGCTTATGCTTGTATGCACTTTATGCCAGTACTTTATGCTAGTACTTTATGCCAGTACAAAGCTGCTGACGTTTATTTGTATGTCTATTAACTGTTACATTAGCAGCTGGGATTACATTTGGAGAAATGTATTAATGTATATTATTATTTATTGAAATCATTCTATAAAATGTCCATGAAAACAAGTTAGTATCATAGCACTTATGGTATGTTCTATTGATTGAGAGATAAAAACGTTTTTTTCCTATAGGGAATGGCCTTTGTTTACGCCAATCCCCACTAGACAATGACAGGCAGTCAGTGTTCCTTTATGATTTAAAAAATAGCATTGTCTAGTTCCGTGTGTGTGTGTGTGTGTCCCAGTGTGCATGTGTATGTGTGTGCATGTGTGTTGTGGATGTTACAGGGGTGAGTTGAGTGAGTTCTGTCCTTTTCAGCAGTAGTAAAGGTTGGTCCAGAGACAGTAAATTGCTGTGTAATGAGCTGAGTTAATGGAAAAGCACATTATCAAATCAAATACATTCAGCAGCTTCTTGGAATCCTATGTGATTGTTAAGTGCTTCCCACAAACTCTACGACTTAATTCCCTCCTTCGAGCCAGGAAATCACACAATTATACCAAGTCAGGATTTCATTTTATTTTTGCAAAGAACATTAAGGATATTTTATTAAGAACTTCAAATTATGTCAGGTGCAGCAAACAAAAGCCAGTTCATTTTTTAAATCAAGTGGCAATATTCAAATTGTACATTCAGCCAAAAGAAAGAGAGAAAATAAAGAAATGAGAGAATGGTGATAAAATATGAAATATCTGAGGGATTAGAGTGGTGTTTGTGTGTGTGTGCCTTCTTGTGTGTGTGTGCTTTATTGTGTGTGAGTAATGGCAGAGATGGAGATTCACAGTTCTCAGTAAGAGGAGCAACAGGAAGAGGTGACATGGTACTTTCACTCTGGTTCTTATAGTTGTAGTCTTTGTTTCATGGTTATCTTGCTTCTGGCGAACAGTGGGAGACAGTGCTCTTGGTATATTGCATCTTTTCACGTATAAAGTTGCTGCATTTCCTTCATCGGCTCTGTGTATCAGTTGCATTCAGACAAGAGAATTACAGCAAAGTCTGTGTGTATGCAAGTGTGTTTTAATGTGTGTCTATGTGTCTGTGTGTTTTTCGATGCATGTGTGTGTGTTTTAGATGTGAGTGTGCCACGACATTACCTTAGTGTCAACTCACCGCTCAGCGCACAGGGAATTGTGGGTCATTTTAATTAAGCACTGCTGTGGCGGTAGAGGCTAATGTGGGTTAAACACAGCCCAATTCTCCTCTCCCAGCTTTACTCTCTAATCTGTGAAGATTACACTCTAGCTCTCTAATGAGACGTTTACAGCAGAATGCTGTTGCCTCCTAGTTCTGTATGCAGGCCCTGTAGTGTCTAGACGTTCAACAGAAAGCCTGTGGTCTCTAAATGTTCAACAGAAGGCCTGTAGTATCTGGATGTTCACCCTGTGGGTGTGGGGTGCTGAGGCAGTGACTCTCTCAGGCTCTGTCCAGGAAGCTAGGCTAGGGCGATGGGACCACTGCAGGCTGAATATCCATATTCTACAGTACATATCCACTCCTCCCACTCGCCACTGCCACTGTCTGTCAGAGGTTTTTTTCTAATGGCGATTTCCCGGCCGTTTCTATTACACACACACAAAGTCACACAGACAAATAAGTCACGCACACACACAACCACACACAGAGAATCTGGAGCAGCAGTGAGAACCTCATTCTGTGATAAGTGCCCAATGTCAGTGCTGGCCTGGAGCAGCAGGCCACCCACAGAACATGTTGCCTCTCTCTCTCTACAAACACACACACAAAGGACATGCCTCCCTTTCAAATCCATCTGTGCTGCACTAGGATAGAGACACTCATTCCCATTGGTTGACGCAGTATAAATCATAGGACATTGATCCAATCACAGGACAGTGGCGCCACCCCTTCACATCACCCGCCTCTTACAGCAACCATTAGCAGCTTTTGGGGGCAATTAACCTCAAAAGACTCATATTAGGACAGAGGGGGAAGGAGAGACAGGAAAGATAGAGACACATGGCAGGAGAGGATAAAAGAAAGAGAGAGATATACATCTTCCATTGCTCTACGTGTCCATCAGTTGTTTTTCATAATCGCTGGCTAATTGCCTGTCGGCAAAGGTAGCACTCAGCCCTGCCGTCCCCCAGTTACATAAGACAGGGCTCCTGTGAATAAGGACAGGGGAGGGAGGAAGGGAGAGAAGGAGGGATAGAAGGAGAGGGAAACAGACAAAGGGTGAAAGTGGGAGACAGGAGATGCGGGAGAAAAAGGGGCAGAGACAGAGAGGAGCATGGGATGAGAAAGGGGAGAGAAAATGAGACAGATGGAGAAGGAGCGGGAGACGGAGTGGGAGAGGGAGACGGAGCGGGAAAGGGAGATGTAGAGGGAGACGGAGAGGTAGAGGGAGACGGAGCAGGAGAGGGAGACGGAGCGGGAGAGGGAGACAGAGCGGGAAAGGGAGATGTAGAGGGAGACGGAGAGGTAGAGGGAGACGGAGCGGGAGAGGGAGATGTAGAGGGAGACGGAGAGGTAGAGGGAGAGGGAGAGGGAGGCGGAGAGGGAGACGGAGAGGGAGAGTGTGTGTGACAGCTGTGTGTGAACGAGATGCCCAGAACCAAGGTGCCCGTCACACACCACCAGGGGGGCACTTTCAGTGAGTGTGCCGTGCAGCCAGAATGGGGGGACAGAAAACAATGCGACACACGTCACTGCATCAGGACAAAATCACAACCTTGCCCCGGCCACAAACATCCCCTCTCTGTAATGTCAGTGAAAGGACAGTGACGCCGAGTGTCCCTCCAACTAGATAATACTCAAACCCTACAATCCTCTAAAGAACAGGACAAGCTGAAAACAGATGCAACAGGATCTAACCTTCCACAACTCTAGTTTCACATTTAACCCTTGACCTTGTCAAAGAGGAGGTCCACTACCATATGAGCAACTTTGTACAGATGTAATTGAGGCAGATAGACAAACAGTGCTCTGCTCACTGTTCCTTTAATTTAATTGAGTTGCTAATAAGTGAGAAAGTCATACCCCAAACAGTCTCGTCAACCATGATAAATGAATGCACGTAACACTGCATTAGAATAGACAGCTTTACAAGACGCATTCTAGAAAAAAGACCCAGCTGTCATAGTGTCTTTATAGATATTGTGAATAGTTCTGTGTAGAACCATAATGTAAATGTCAGCATGTTGTGGATGTCAAGTGGATTTATAGCTCTGGCTCAATGGTGGGTTAACATTTGTCATTGGAAAGAATGAATGGAACTGACCTGACCGTATGAACAATCAGAACACAGGAGGTCAAAGGTTATTAATGAAGGCACAGCCGTAATGGTTCCCCCTGAGTTTCATTTGTGTTTCAGACTCGTTCAATCCACTAGTTGTTAGAGGTGTCATCATCAAATAATTGAGTTGTTTTGTTTCAGATCATGGTGCTAAGATGTATGATCCACCTCTACTTTTAAACATCTCTCTGTCCTAGTGGCAGAAAGTCTAAAAAAAAACATTTTTAGTTTCCAAAAAGCGAGAACGGTAATTGGTCTGTTGATGTCCTTTCCAAAAGCACCATGTAGGCCAAGCCTTTCACCTTCAGTCAGAAGGCACCATGTAGGCCAAGCCTTTCACCTTCAGTCAGAAGGCACCATGTAGGCCAAGCCTTTCACCTTCTGTCAGAAGGCACCATGTAGGCCAAGCCTTTCACCTTCAGTCAGAAGGCACCATGTAGGCCAAGCCTTTTACCTTCTGTCAGAAGGCACCATGTATGCCAAGCCTTTCACCTTCAGTCAGAAGGCACCATGTAGGCCAAGCCTTTCACCTTCTGTCAGAAGGCACCATGTAGGCCAAGCCTTTCACCTTCAGTCAGAAGGCACCATGTAGGCCAAGCCGTTTACCTTCTGTCAGAAGGCACCATGTAGGCCAAGCCTTTTACCTTCTGTCAGAAGGCACCATGTAGGCCAAGCCTTTCACCTTCAGTCAGAAGGCACCATGTAGGCCAAGCCTTTCACCTTCAGTCAGAAGGCACCATGTAGGCCAAGCCTTTCACCTTCAGTCAGAACACTGCTATACTAAAACACTGTTTAAAGGGAATCGCTGCATTCGTTTTTTTTGGAGCGGACACACATGCAAGCTTGATGACCGTGTATTATTTTACCACGCACACACACACACACACACACACACACACACACACAGAGGCTTTCCTGAACAATCAGTGAAGGGTTGAAGAGGTGAGCTGAGCACTAATTCTGTGCTTTAATCGTGAATACATTTCCTTACACACGCAAGCACACACACACACACACACACACACACAAGTTCGCTGAGATAGAGGATGAGTGAGCAGTGGCTTGTTGCGTAGGGCCGGGATATACTGACACTCTGAACCAAATGGGACTTCCTGAGTTGTATGAGTGATAGTCCCTCTGACCGAACCAATTTAAGGTTCCTCAGATCACCATGGCAATGGAATGATTTCGATTTATTTACAAAAAATGCCCTTTTCCTGACATCATTTGAAAAAGAATGGAAAGAGAATAAACGTGGAATTTTGCTTTAGGAGCAGCTTTGACAGGGAAAAAAATAAGAGCGATATAATTACAAAGAAAAGGAAACTTTTCTATTGAGGATCATGTCAATAACAAACCGTATCACAGTATCCTCTTTCAAAATTAAATAAACCTTTTTTTGTTCACATTTGTATTTTTTTCCCGGTATACTATATCACACAGTGATAACAAAGAAAGGAGAAATCTACAGCCACATTAGCTTCGTGCAAAAAACACATACACTGGCATGCCGCATGGGCAAAGATTAAAGCAAAACAACGCATACAAAAATATAGAAAATCTCCAATGCAACTCAACACCTCACTGAAAACTATGTTTCTGTCTTTGTACAACAATTTCTCCACCAAACAGCATCTCTTTCACCAAAGGGTCACTTCTGGAACATTATATTGGTGTTTTTGTCTTCGTTGTTTTTTAAGACAACCATTGGCCTTCCATATAGTAAACAATAGAACCAAAAACAAAATCTGGTAGCTATAGTATGTCATTATGATGGTTAGTCATAAAGATATTCGGAATAATTATAATAACAACAACATGTTGAATGATAGAAAACTAGTACAATAAAAGCATGTCATTTCTGTCAATCATTTGTGACAAATCTTTTTTTGTTTTTAAAATACATATTTCCTGTCACTTTTAAGACATTCCAGCGTTTGCTCATAACTGTTGGTGACAGGTTACATACGGTAGTTTGGCATACTCAGCAAGCCATGCCCAGAAGGATGCTAGGGGTCATGGTCCTCTGCTCAGACGGTGCATGCATCATCCAATGATTGTGTGCCACGTCATTGACCGTGCCGTCGGACACCAGATTGGTATAGCATATGATGTGGTTAGCTGATAGGTAAAATACCTATCCAGGCATTGTAAGATCTGGCATGCGTCAGCAACGCCTGGGCAGAGGAACGCGCCTAACATCTCTTGCAAAGGAGAGGAGGGGTTTCAGGTTTCAGGATGCAGTGGAACCTGTCCACCAGTGGGAAACACTGTATCTGGGTAGGGGCAGGGGAAGGGCGGGGTTATACAGAACAGCCCAAACTACAAACCGACGTGCTCAAGACCAGGTCAGCACACAAGTTCAGTTCAGCACTTGCAAACACATGCAGAGTTTTAAGATTCAGTCTTTTCCCTGTCAGTTGTGTCCCTTTTAGTTCTTAGCAGTTTCTCGCTTTCTTGTTGTGGGTGGGTGGAGCACTGAACCCCACTGGCCAATCCGTGTGCTTCTTACTGAAACCACAGACCAATCGTTGGGCTTCTTACTGGAGGCTGTGACAGCCAGTCCAGCTCACCTGCTTCACATTGATAGAAAAGATTGTTTGGACGCCTCAAGACAAAAATATATTGATACATATCAAATCGCCAGGGGGGCAGGCAGGTAGGGGATTGAAATGTTGCGATCAGGTCAAGACAGAGGGGTTACACTGCAGTAAGAGTTCAAGTCATGAAAAAAACATGCAGAGGCCATGGGAGGGACGGAGAGATGGACGGAGAGATGGAGGGAGAGACGGAGAGATGGACGGAGAGATGGAGGGAGAGATGGACGGAGAGATGGACGGAGAGATGGAGGGAGAGATGGACGGAGAGATGGAGGGAGAGATTGAGGGAGAGATGGGCGGAGAGATGGACGGAGAGATGGACGGAGAGATGGAGGGAGAGATGGAGGGAGAGATGGACGGAGAGATGGACGGAGAGATGGACGGAAAGATGGACGGAGAGATGGAGGGAGAGATGGACGGAGAGATGGAGGGAGAGATGGAGGGAGAGATGGACGGAGAGATGGAGGGAGAGATGGACGGAGAGATGGACGGAGAGATGGAGGGAGAAACAATGGATGAAACAAAAATCAATGACAGGGGAGTCATTCGTTTCCCTGCTCTCTCTCCCTCTCCTCCTCCTCCTCCTCTTCCTCCTCTTCCAGAGACACCACTCCGGAGGAGGCTACGTCTGAGACCTTCCTGTGGGTGGCATAGTCAGGTGGGTACACCTCGCCATCTCCTTCTCTCTGGCACACGGTGCCCTCATAGTCTTTGCAGGGCGTATCGTCGTCCTCCCCGGGCGACAGGTAGGTCTCGGAGTAGGTCACAGAGTAGCAGGGCGATTCCTCCCCCCCCGGCCGGCCCCTTCCATCCCCCAGGCTGTTGAAGTCCCCTCTCCCTCTAACACCCTGCCCCACCCTCTGGAGGCGGGCCAACAGCATCTCCTCCCCCCCTTGCAGGGCCGAGAGGATCTTGGCGGCCAGCTCGGCGGCATTACCGTGGTTGTTGCCGCAGTGATGGGTGAGATCTCGCAGTAAGGGATGTTGCTCATCCAAGCTGCAGAGGCTGGAGCAGAGGGTGTCTGTGGAGGTGGGGGAGGGCCCGTCTCCTCCTCCTGCCCCCTCGCAGCACGGCCCCCGCAGACCCAGGTGCTGACACACCTGACTGTGAAGAAGGTCCCTCAGGTAGGGGGGCACCTCTGGAGCCAAAGAGGGGGGAGAAGAGAGACAGTGAGTGTACTGAATGATCCTGCCTAATGTCTGACCATGCCTGACGAGGTCACGTAGTCAGGAAAAACTATGAGCCCTACTGATGAGAGACAATGTATTGTTATGGAATGACAGCAGACACGTTAAATAATGAAACTGACTTATCAGGCTAAATCTGGAAAGGGTGGAGGTTATAGGATTCAAGCTGATCCTAGATCTGCGCCTTTGGGGCAGCTTCTCAACCATATAGTGTTACGGAATAAAATACGTCATACTAAATTAAAATAAATGACATTATCAAGCAAAACAAAGCTGTCATATTTGGTGCAGTGGAGTAATCAATCAGCCTAAAAGCATTGGCATCCCCACAATAGATGCACACACAAACATACACACACACACACACACACACACACACACACACACAGTAAATGTATAGTCCACTCACACAGCCAACAAACTCATATAGCAACCCCCACCCCCGTCTGCAGCAAAGGAATCAAATTAAACTTGCAGGAGGGATATCGAATTGCGCCGGGGAACAACATTTTTTTAAATGAAAGTAGGGCACTGGGACAATAAGAGTTCCAGACAGCCTCGTCACCACACAGAGAGAGGAGACAGAGAGAGGTGGGGGGATGGGGAGAAAGGACGTGCAGGGCCTGGAGGGTATAAAGCAGGGGAGGAATAAATGAAGGTATTAGAAAGGAGGACCATGCACTCTTCAGTGATACTCCAGTTGTAATAGGGTAGTTTTGGCTCAAATTTTGAAGTTAAAAAATGAAGTTGGTATCGTTAGATGTTTTGGAGGTGGTCTGATTATGTGAGTGTATGTGTGTGTGTCTGTGTACAGTACCTGTGCTTTGTGTTGTGGGCTCGTTGGCGGGAATGAAGTCCTCATCATATGAGTCGTCATTAGAATCATCTCCGTCCACGGATGACCAGGCTCTCAGCTTTGCCTCCGCTATGGCAAACTGCTCCGCCACACCTGCACACACACACACATAGGTTAGACATCATATTCACAAACATTCAATACACACACCCACACATACAGGTTTGTACAGTGGGGGAAAAAAGTATTTAGTCAGCCACCAATTGTGCAAGTTCTCCCACTTAAAAAGATGAGAGAGGCCTGTAATTTTCATCATAGGTACACGTCAACTATGACAGACAAAATGAGAAAACAAAATCCAGAAAATCACATTGTAGGATTTTTAATGAATTTATTTGCAAATTATGGTGGAAAATAAGTATTTGGTCAATAACAAAAGTTTCTCAATACTTTATTATATACCCTTTGTTGGCAATGACACAGGTCAAACGTTTTCTGTAAGTCTTCATAAGGTTTTCACACACTGTTGCTGGTATTTTGGCCCATTCCTCCATGCAGATCTCCTCTAGAGCAGTGATGTTTTGGGGCTGTCGCTGGGCAACACGGACTTTCAACTCCCTCCAAAGATTTTCTATGGGGTTGAGATCTGGAGACTGGCTAGGCCACTCCAGGACCTTGAAATGCTTCTTACGAAGCCACTCCTTCGTTGCCCGGGCGGTGTGTTTGGGATCATTGTCATGCTGAAAGACCCAGCCACGTTTCATCTTCAATGCCCTTGCTGATGGAAGGAGGTTTTCACTCAAAATCTCACGATACATGGCCCCATTCATTCTTTCCTTTACACGGATCAGTTGTCCTGGTCCCTTTGCAGAAAAACAGCCCCAAAGCATGATGTTTCCACCCCCATGCTTCACAGTAGGTATGTTGTTCTTTGGATGCAACTCAGCATTCTTTGTCCTCCAAACACGATTATTTTTTCTCAATTTGTCTGTCATAGTTGACATGTACCTATGATGAAAATTACAGGCCTCTCTCATCTTTTTAAGTGGGAGAACTTGCACAATTGGTGGCTGACTAAATACTTTTTCCCCCCCACTGTATTTGTATTTATTATGGATCCCCATTAGCTGCTGCCAAGGCAGCAGCTACTCTTCCTGGGGTCCGGCAAAATTAAGGCAGTTATACAATTTTAAAAACATTACAATACATTCACAACAGATTTCACAACATATTAAGGGTGTGCCCTCAGGCCCCTACTCTACTACCACATATCTACAATACAAAATCCATGTGTGCGTGTGTGTATAGTGAGTATGTTATCCTGTGTGTGTATGCGTGTGTCTGTGCCTATGTTTGTGTTGCTTCACAGTCCTCGTTGTTCGATATGGTGTATTTTTATCAGTTTTTTTCTATCTGATTCTACTGCTTGCATCAGTTACCTGATGTGGAATAGATTTCCATGTAGTCATTGCTCTATGTAGTACTGTGCGCCTCCCATAATCTGTTCTGGACTTATGGAATGTGAAGAGACCTCTGGTGGCATGTCTTGTGGGGTATGCATGGGTGTCTGAGCACAATTTTTTCCAAAACTTTACTAAGGGTTGGTAACAGGCTGACTGGTCGGCTATTTGAGCCAGTAAAGGGGGCTTTACTATTCTTAGGTAGCGGAATGACTTTTGCTTCCCTCCAGGCCTGAGGGCACACTTTCTAGTAGGCTTAAATTGAATATATGGCAAATAGGAGTGGAAATATAATCTGCTATTATCCTCAGTAATTTTCCATCCAAGTTGTCAGATTCCAGTGGCTTGTCATTGTTGATAGACAGAGATAATCAGGTTAGACATCATATTCACAGAAATTCATGCTTTTTTGATTGACAGGTCCTTTCTGTGGAAGACAGAGTACAGGGATAGACAGCAAGGTTCTAAACCGGAGAGGTCGTAGATCATACAAACATATAAACATGTCACCTGGGTATGTATGCAAACACTGCAAATAATTCACAAATACAACACACAGGTAGAGTGCATTCGGAAATTATTCAGACCCTTTGACTTTTTCCACATTTTGTTTCCCTCATAAATCTACACACAGTACCCCATAATGACAAAGAGAAAACAGGTTTTTAGACATTTTTGCAAATGTATTAAAAATTAAAAACGGAAATACCTTATTTACATAAGTATTCAGACCCTATGCTATGAGACTCAATTGAGCTCAGGTGCATCCTGTTTCCATTGATCATCCTTGAGATGTTTATACAACTTTATTGGAGTCCACCTGTGGTAAAATAAATTGATCGGACATGATTTGGAAAGGCACACACCTGTCTATATACAGTGAGGGAAGAAAGTATTTGATCCCCTGCTGATTTTGTACGTTTGCCCACTGACAAAGACATGATCAGTCTATAATTTTAATGGTAGGTTTATTTGAACAGTGAGAGACAGAATAACAACAACAAAATCCAGAAAGACGCATGTCAAAAATGTTATAAATTTATTTGCATTTTAACGACGGAAATAAGTATTTGACCTCCTATCAATCAGAAAGATTTCTGGCTCACAGGTGTGTTTTATACAGGTAACGAGCTGAGATTAGGAGCACACTCTTAAAGGGAGTGCTCCTAATCTCAGTTTGTTACCTGTATAAAAGACACCTGTCCACAGAAGCAATTAATCAATCAAATTCGAAACTCTCCACCATGGCCAAGACCAAAGAGCTCTCCAAGGATGTCAGGGACAAGAGTGTAGACCTACACAAGGCTGGAATGGGCTACAAGACCATCGCCAAGCAGCTTGGTGAGAAGGTGACAACAGTTGGTGCGATTATTCGCAAATGGAAGAAACACAAAATAACTGTCAATCTCCCTCGGCCTGGGGCTCCATGCAAGATCTCACCTCGTGGAGTTGCAATGATCATGAGAACAGTGAGGAATCAGCCCAGAACTACACAGGAGGATCTTGTCAATGATCTCAAGGCAGCTGGGACCATAGTCACCAAGAAAACAATTGGTAACACACTACGCCGTGAAGGACTGAAATCCTGCAGCGCCCGCAAGGTCCCCCTGCTCAAGAAAGCACATATACAGGCCCGTCTGAAGTTTGCCAATGAACATCTGAATGATTCAGAGGAGAACTGGGTGAAAGTGTTGTGGTCAGATGAGACCAAAATCGAGGTCTTTGCCATCAACTCAACTCGCCATGTTTGAAGGAGGAGGAATGCTGCCTATAACCCCAAGAACACCATCCCCACCGTCAAACATGGAGGTGGAAACATTATGCTTTGGGGGTGTTTTTCTGCTAAGGGGACAGGACAACTTCACCGCATCAAAGGGATGATGGACGGGGCCATGTACCGTTAAATCTTGGATGAGAACCTCCTTCCCTCAGCCAGGGCATTGAAAATGGGTCGTGGATGGGTATTCCAGCATGACAATGACCCAAAACACACAGCCAAGGCAACAAAGGAGTGGCTCAAGAAGAAGCACATTAAGGTCCTGGAGTGGCCTAGCCAGTCTCCAGACCTTAATCCCATAGAAAATCTGTGGAGGGAGATGAAGGTTTGAGTTGCCAAACGTCAGCCTCGAAACCTTAATGACTTGGAGAAGATCTGCAAAGAGGAGTGGGACAAAATCCCTCCTGAGATGTGTGCAAACCTGGTGGCCAACTACAAGAAATGTCTGACCTCTGATTGCCAACAAGGGTTTTGCCACCAAGTACTAAGTCATGTTTTGCAGAGGGGCCCAATACTTATTTCTCTCATAAATTGATTTGCATTTTAATAACATTTTTGACATGCATTTTTCTGGATTTTTTTGTTGTTATTCTGTCTCTCACTGTTCAAATAAACCTACCATTAAAATTATAGACTGATCATGTCTTTGTCAGTGGGCAAACGTACAAAATCAGCAGGGGATCAAATACTTTTTTCCCTCACTGTAAGGTCCCACAGTTGACAGTGCATGTCAGAGAAGAAACCCAACCATGAGGTCGAAGGAATTGTCCATAGAGCTCAGAGACAGGATTGTGTCAAGGCACAGATCTGGGGAAGGGTAACAAAACATTTCTGCAGGATTGAAGGTCCCCAAGAACACAGTGGCCGGAGCAATCGGGGGGGAAGGGCCTTGGTCAGGGAAGTGACCAAGAACCCGATGGTCACTCTGACAGAGATCCAGAGTTCCTCTGTGGAGATGGGAGAACCTTCCAGAAGGACAGTCATCTCTGCAGCACTCCACCAATCAGGCCTTTATGGTAGAGTGGCCAGACGGAAGCCCCTCCTTAGTAAAAGGCACATGACAGCCCGCTTGCAGTTGGCCAAAAGGCACTTAAAGGACTCTGACCATGAGAAACAAGATTCTCTGGTCTGATGAAACTTTTGTATTTTAATTTTTGTACTTTTTACCCCTTTTTCGTGATATCCAATTGGTAGTTACAGTCTTGTCCCATCGCTGCAACTACCGTACGGACTCGGGAGAGGCGAAGGTCGAGAGCCATGCGTCCTCCGAAACACAACCCTGCCAAGCTGCACTGTTTCTTGACACACTGCTCGCTTAACCCGGAAGCCAGCCACATCAATGTGTCGGAGGAAAGACCATACAGCTTGCAAGCGCCCGGCCCGCCACAAGGAGTCGCTAAAGCGCGATGGGACAAGGAAATCCCGTCCGGCCAAACCCTCTCCTAACTCGGACGATACTGGGCCAATTGTGCGCCGCCTCATGGGTCTCCCAGTCACGGCTGGCTATGACACAGCCTGGGATCGAACTAGAGGCTGTAGACCACTGCGCCACTCGGGAGGCCCAAGATTGAACTCTTTGGCCTGAATGGCAAGTGTCATGTCTGGAGGAAACCTGGCACTATCCCTACGGTGAAGCATGGTGGTGGCAGCATCATGCTGTGGGGATGTTTTTCAGCGGCAGGGACTGGGAGACTAGTCAGGATCGAGGGAAAGATGAACGGAGCAAAGTACAGAGAGATCCTTGATGAAAACCTGCTCCAGAGCGCTCAGGACCTCAGACTGGGGCGAAGGTTCACCTTCCAACAGGACAACGACCCTAAGCACACAGCCAAGACAATGCAGGAGTGGCTTCGGGACAAGACTCTGAATGTCCATGAGTGGGGCAGCCAGAGCCTGGACTTGTACCCGATCTAACATCTCTGGAGAGACCTGAAAATAGCTGTGCAGCGATGCTCCCCATCCAACCTGACAGAGATTGAGAGGATCTGCAGAGAAGAATGTGAGAAACGTCCCAAATACAGGTGTGCCAAGCTTGTAGCGTCATACCCAAGAAGATTCAAGGCTGTAATCGCTGCCAAAGGTGCTTCAACAAAGTACTGAGTAAAGGGTCTGAATACTTACAGTATCTCTCAAAAGTTTGGACACACCTACTCATTCAAGGGCTTTTCTTTATTTTTACTATTTTCTACATTGTAGAATAATAGTGAAGACAACAAAACTATGAAATAACACTCATGGAATCATGTAATAACCCAAAAAGTGTTAAACGAATCAAAATATATTTTATATTTGAGATTCTTCAAAGTAGCCACCCTTTGCCTTGATAGTGGCGGCAGGTAGCTTAGTGGTTAAGAGCGTTGTGCCAGTAACCGAAAGGTCGCTGGTTCTAATCCCCGAGCCAACTAGGTGAAAAATCTGTCGATGTGCCCTTGAGCAAGGCACTAAACCCTAATTGCTCCTGTAAGTCGCTCTGGATAAGAGCGTCTGCTAAATGACAAAAATAATAAAATAATAAAAATAACAGCTTTGCACACTCTTGGAATTCTCGCAACCAGCTTCATGAGGTAGTCCCCTGGAATGCATTTCAATTAACATGTGTGGAATTTCTTTCCTTCTTAATGCGTTTGAGCAAATCAGTTGTGTTGGTATACAGAAGATAGCCCTATTTGGTAAAAGACCAAGTCCATATTATGGCAAGAACAGCTCAAATAAGCAAAGAGAAATGACAGTCCATCATTACTTTAAGACGTGAAGGTCAGTCAATACGGAACATTTCAAGAACTTTGAAAGTTTCTTCAAGTGCAGTCGCAAAAACCATCAAGCGCTATGATGAAACTGGCTCTTATGAGGACCGCCACAGGAAAGAAAGACCCAGAGTTACCTCTGCTGCAGAGGATAAGTTCAATAGAGTTAGAGTTAACTGCATTTCTTCAAAGTAGCCACCCTTTGCCTTGATGATGGCTTTGCACACTCTTGGCATTCTCTTAACCAGCTTCATGAGGAATGCTTTTCCAACAGTCTTGAAGGAGTTCCCACATATGCTGATCATGTGTTGGCTGCTTTTCCTTCACTTTGCGGTCCAACTCATCCCAAACCATCTCAATTGGGTTGAGGTCGGGGGATTGTGGAGGCCAGGTGCAGCACTACATCACTCTCCTTAGTCAAATATCCCTTACACAGCCTGGAGGTGTGTTTTGGGTCATTGTCCTGTTGAAAGACAAATGATAGTCCCACTAAGCGCAACCCAGATGGGATGGCGTATCGCTGCAGAATGCTGTGGTAGCCATGCTGGTTAAGTGTGCCTTGAATTCTAAATAAATCACAGACAGTGTCACCAGCAAAGCACCCTTACACAATCACACCTTCTCCTCCATGCTTCACGGTGGGAACCACACATGCGGAGATCATTCGTTCACCTACTCTGCGTCTCACAAAGACCCAGCGGTTGGAACCAAAAAACTCAAAGGACAGATTTCCACCCGTCTAATGTCCATTGCTCGGGTTTCTTGGCCCAAGCAAGTCTCTTCTTCTGATTGGTGTCCTTTAGTAGTGGTTTCTTTGCAGCAATTCGACCATAAAGGCCTGATTCACGAAGTCTCCTCTGAACAGCTGATGTTGAGATGTGTCTGTTACTTGAACTCTATGAAGCATTTATTTGTGCTGCAATCTGAGGTGCAGTTAACTCTAATGAACTTATCCTCTGCAGCAGAGGTAACTCTGGGTCTTCCTTTCCTGTGCCGGTCCTCATGAGAGCCAGTTTCATCATAGCGCTTGATGGTTTTTGTGACTGCACTTGAAGAAACTTTCAAAGTTCTTGAAATGTTCCGTATTTACTGACCTTCATGTCTTAAAGTAATGATGGACTGTCGTTTCTCTTTGCTTATTTGAGCTGTTCTTGCCATAATATGGACTTGGTCTTTTACCAAATAGGGCTGTCTTCTGTATACCACCCCTACCTTTTCACAACACAACTGATTGGCTCAAACGCATTAAGAAGGAAAGAAATTCCACAAATTAACGGTTAGAGCGTTGGGCCAGTAACTGAACCGTCGCTAGTTCAAATCCTCGTGCTGACAAGATCAAAAATCTGATGATGTGCCCTTGAGCAAGGCACTTAACCCTAATTGTTGATAATGACCACTCTCTGAGGGAGTCTCAGGGAGAGTTGGGATATGCAAAAAACACATTTCCAATTCCCACGTGTATTAATACACACTTGTACATGAAATAGGACAAATATAAGCACCCACCAAATGATTATTTTACTACACACACACAGGGGACACGGTGACCGTGGGTTTTCTCTGTGGCTGAGGTGACTCGGCATGTGACAGAGCCAGAGAGAGGAGCTGACCAATCACCACCAATCACTGTCACCAGCTAGCCAATCACAAATGACCTGTTTCTCTCAGCTGCACCAATGGCCTTCCTTTCCTCATTCCTCTCCTCTCTTTTGTATTCTATCCAATCCCTCTCTTTTCTCATTCCTCTCTTCTCATGTATTGGTCATCTCTCTCCCTTAGCAACGCACCTTGTGTTCCTCTCCTTTCCTCATTCATCTCATTTTCCTTTGCATTTCAATCTCCTTCTTTTTCAACTTATTTCGTTTTCATCGCTCTCTCTCTTTCTCTCTCTTTCTCTCCTCACCCCTCTCATCTCATTTCAATGTAAATTTTCTCTCTCTATTTCCCTCTCCCCTGTTCTCTGCAGTCATGTGTTCTGTATTAATGTGTTTATTCACACAGAGATCAATTCTACCATTCATATTCTACTGTGGCTCAGCCCTAAACTCAGCCTTCACACACAGGAAGGCCCGTCCTCCGACACATAGCACTAGTCTCTTTCTTTACATTTCTGTTCCTCATTGTCTTTCTCCATCTTATACACTCAAGGTTTACATCCATTCTGCATACACGTGTGTGTGTGCGCTATGTTCCTGCAGAGATTGGCTCTTCTCGCATGCAGACATGTTTAGACCAGCACACTCCCAGAACACTTTGATGGCCTCTACAGAGTAAACCCATGGACCTGGCTCCAACTGAACTCAATGTGAAAATCAGCATATTTCACAGATGATGGCAGAGGGCAAACACTGCAGTTTCTCTGGACCCCCCCCCCCCCCCACACACACACACACACACACAGTAACATTTTACACACTCTCACACATACAAACACACACTGAAAATTACACTCGTCTATACACACTCTCTCTATCACACTCACACAGTCTAAAGTGTGAAATAAGCTCCTTTAAGTGTTGGTCAGGGCTGACAGCCAGACTCCTGCAGGGGGAGAACCACTGTCCAAGAATGTGTGTGTGTGTGTGTGTGTGTGTGTGTGTGTGTGTGTGTGTGTGTGTGTGGGTTAGAGAGAGAGGCCGAGACGGAGATGTGTGTGTGCTGGCACGGGCTGGTCCATCAATAGGACAACCCCACATGGACACAACCACCACTGTACCTCCCATTCAGCTGGCTTAATCTATCATGAGAGCCAGCAAACAGACAGACACACACACACACACACACACATCATATACAGTGCATACATAGGGGAAGGGGATAGAAGTGTTTGCATGCCTGTATGTGTGTAAAGGGGGCATATTGGGTGGAGAGGAGAGGAGAGGAGAGGAGAGGAGAGGAGAGGAGGGACACAGAGAAAAGCGCTCAGTCACGCCGGCACTAGCCAGGAGCAGAACCTTACTGTGCAAATTAACCTTGAGAGGCTGCACTGCAGCGAGGGAGGGAGAATGGCGAGAGAGAGGGTGAAAGACAGAGAGGAATGAGGAGAGAGAGGGTGAAAGACAGAGAGGAATGAGAGAGCAGAGTGTGAATGAAAGACAGAGAGGAATGAGGAGAGAGAGGGTGAAAGACAGAGAGGAATGAGGAGAGAGAGGGTGAAAGACAGAGAGGAATGAGGAGAGAGAGGGTGAAAGACAGAGAGGAATGAGGAGAGAGAGGGTGAAAGACGAAGAGGAATGAGGAGAGGAGAGGGTGAAAGAAAGAGAGGAATGAGGAGAGGGTGAAAGACAGAGAGGAATGAGGAGAGAGAGGGTGAAAGACGAAGAGCGAAGAGCGAAGGAACGAGGGACCTAGAATGGGTAGAGAGATAGACGGAGACAAGGTAAAAGAGAGAGGGATAGGGAGACAGAGTGAAAGAGAAAAAGAGGGAGGCAGACAGGGACAGAGGAAAAATGAGTGGCATAGAAAGAAGGGGACAAAAAAAACTGAGAGAAAGAGGAACATTTCACAACATTTTAATACCTAAGTCATTGGTGCAAAAAACATTCTCAGTCAACTTACCTGTTAAAGTAAAACTAAATGATCCTAATGATAAACAAGGTAGGCCTACTGACCTGCAGCGAAGCGTGCCTCCTGTTCTCCCTCAGTGAGATCAGAGTAGTTGTTGAAGTCAGACTCCAGAGCTGTGGGGGTGTCAGTGGGCTTACACCAGCCCTTCCACTCTATCAGGTGGGCCACCCTGCCCTGGGCCATGCCTGTAGGCCGCGTCACATGGTCCTTCATCGCCTGGGAGATGCCTAGAGGTCAAAGATTAGAGGGCAAGGGTCACATACATGTAAAGTATAAAGACTATAGCAGGCAGGCTTTGTTTTTGTTTTGTGTGTGTGTGTGTGTCTGTGTGTGTGTGTGTGTCTACGTGCGTGTGTTTGCGTTCGGGCGCAATGCTCGTATTTACCATGTAATGAAGATCTGGCTAACGCCGCAATCTCTTGAATGGTAAGTGCTCTTCTCGATTTTGGTAACATTTCAACGGTGTCTTCAACATTTACCTGTGAAGGAAAAAACAAGCACTAGTAAAGAATGACTCATACACTACATTAATGATGACAAGCAGTATAGGCTATTATACAGATGCACTCTATATGCTATGACTACCAAGAAATCCATTCAAACTGATCTAAAAGAGCACTCATGTTTTTAAGGCAGAGAAAATACCTCTGTTTTCATTGCTTTTACACACACGCACACGCACACACACACACACTGCATCAAAGATATGAAGGGCCATTGCAAGATTATTATGATGAAACGACAGAACAACCCCCCTCCTCTCTACTCTACTCCCTTGGTCTGGTCTGTCCATCCTCTCTACTCTACTCCCTTGGTCTGGTCTATCCCTCCTCTCTACTCTACTCCCTTGGTCTGGTCTATCCATCCTCTCTACTCTACTCCCTTGGTCTGGTCTATCCATCCTCTCTACTCTACTCCCTTGGTCTGGTCTATCCATCCTCTCTACTCTACTCCCTTGGTCTGGTCTATCCATCCTCTCTACTCTAACTCCCTTGGTCTGGTCTATCCACTCTCTACTCTACTCCTTGGTCCTGGTCTATCCCTCCTCTCTACTCTACTCCTTGGTCTGGTCTATCCATCCTCCTCTACCTACTCCTTGGTCTGGTCTATCCATCCTCTCGACCTATCTACTCCCTTGTCTGGTCTATCCTCCTCTCTACTCTACTTCCCGTGGTCTGGTCTATCATCTCTTCTAACTCTACCCCTTGGTCGGTCTATCCCTCTCTCTACTCTACTCTCCCTTGGTCTTGGTCTATCCATCCTCTCTACTCTACTCCTTGGTCTGGTCTAATCCCTCCTCTCTACCCTACTCCCTTGGGGTCTGTCTATCCATCCTCTCTACTCTACTCCTTGGCTGGTCTATCCATCCTCTTCTACTCTACTCCCTTGTCTGGTCTATCCATCCGCTCTACTCTACTCCCTTGGTCTGGTCTATCCATCCTCTCTACTCTACTCCCTTGGTCTGGTCTATCCATCCTCTCTACTCTACTCCCCTTGGTCTGGTCTATCCATCCTCTCTACTCTACTCCCTTGGTCTGGTTATCCATCCTCTCTACTCTACTCCCTTGGTCTGGTCTATCCCATCCTCTCTACTCTACTCCCTTGGTCTGGTCTATCCATCCTCTCTACTCTACTCCCTTGGTCTGGTCTATCCATCCTCTCTACTCTATTCCCTTGGTCTGGTCTATCCATCCTCTCTACTCTACTCCCTTGGTCTGGTCTATCCATCCTCTCTACTCTACTCCCTTGGTCTGGTCTATCCCTCCTCTCTACTCTACTCCCTTGGTCTGGTCTATCCCTCCTCTCTACTCTACTCCCTTGGTCTGGTCTATCCATCCTCTCTACTCTACTCCCTTGGTCTGGTCTATCCATCCTCTCTACTCTACTCCCTTGGTCTGGTCTATCCATCCTCTCTACTCTACTCCCTTGGTCTGGTCTATCCCTCCTCTCTACTCTACTCCCTTGGTCTGGTCTATCCATCCTCTCTACTCTATCCCTTGGGTTGAGTCGATCCCTCCTCTCTACTCAACTAACTCTGGTCTGCGTCTATCAATCCTCTCTACTCTACTCCCTGGGATCTGCGGTCTATGCATCCTCTTACTCTACGCCATTGGTCTGGTATATCCATCCTCTCTACTCTACTCCCTTGGTCTGTTATCCATTCCTCTCTACTTATCACTTGTCGGTTATCCATCCTCTCTACTCTACTCCCTTGGTCTGGTCTATCCATCCTCTCTAACTCTACTCCCTTGGTATGGATATACATGCTCTCTACCTACTCCCTTGGTCTTTGGGTCATCCATCCTCTCTACTCTACTCCCTTGGTCTGGTCTATTCCATCCTCTCTGACTCTACGCCCTGGTCTGGTCTATCCATTCTCTCTACGTACTCACTTGTCTGGTCTATTCCATCCTCTCACTCTAACTCCCTTGGTCTGGTCTATCACATCCTCTTACTCTACTCCCTTGGTCTGGTCTATCCATCCTCTCTACTCTACTCCCTTGGTCTGGTCTTTCCATCCTCTCTACTCTACTGCCTTGGTCTGGTCTGTCAATCCTCTCTACTCTCCTTCCTTAGAACGGTCTGCCCATCCTGTAAAGTCACACCGCAGACATTGTATCTGGTGTTGACACGCGCTTTTGTTCGCCATCGCTTTTTATAGCCTAACTTGGTCCACGTGTTTATAATGTCGACAGCTAGCTGATCCCACGTCAAGCTAAGCTTGCGCATTGCTAATTCATGACGGTAGAACGAAATGACAGTTTTTGGGGCGCTCTAAATACTGAAACAGCCTTGAGGCAGGGGCTCTGCGAGCTCAGATGTTCCCGCGCTGGCGATTGTCACCACTACCGAGAGGCGTGATAATCCTCTAGCGCCGCAGAGGAGAGAGACCCGAGCTCTCACATCACTTTAGAAAATCGGGGAGATATGACATGCCTTCGAGTTTCACATGACCCCAGGCGCCACTGCACTTTACAACGCCGTCACACCTCCTTCTACCTCTTCACCCACTCTCCCCTACTGCCCTACTGAACGCGAGCTGGGAGCTCGGAATGGCGAAGGCATCGGCGGCATTCATCCCCACACAGACGGGTGAAGATGATGGCACTCTTGTGCTTCACATGCACGGACACACACACACACATCCCTTCTGTAAAATAACGAGGACATGCCCGGTGTTTTACTGACAAGCCATGGGCTAATCTGGCACAGTCTAGTGAACAGAAAGCAAGGTGCCGAGGTTGCCATTACTCAGTTTAAAATCCGAGACTCGCCTGTGGCATTCGCTGTCGTTTCTGTTGAACCATTCATTTACCATAAACTCTCTATGGTGACAACAGTTCTATGTAGCATTCCCAACACAGAAAAATAAACGAAAACATCAATAGCACCGGCACCGGCAGTAGGCTATATATTTATTGAGTAATTGGCATTCCGCGTATCTGTTCGGTGTATTGAACTCCCGGTCGCCAAAGCTGCAGACGCAATGCCACAGGTTTCATAAGAGAACCGACAAAGATATCGCCGTCGAACAGGAATTTATTTACAACTACTGCCCTTATGTTAAGATTAATTAAATAGAGAAAATATTATATTAAAGTTCAATTTGCCAAAATAAACTAGGATGGCCCAAAAGGTTGCAAAACAGGTGCCAGAGTGACGTGCATATAGCGACAGGGAGACACAGCAATGCCCTACTACAGGCTTTTCAACACTGGACAGCTCTACTTTAGTTCCTTTGAATTGAATACGCTGAATATGAGGCATTTCCGCAAGTAGGGTATGCTGTTAAAATGATATCACAAAAACAAACACTGGCTACACGCACACAGACACCCACATACACACACGCAAAGATTGCATGCAATAATAGGCTTCCATAGCTACAAAGTCATTGGCATCAGTGAAATGTAGGCTAATACCAGTGTTCCTTCATCCGTGACAACGCCCCTTGTTTTCTCGCAGAAGAGCAGCTTTTCCATAGAAAATAGGATGCAAATCGAATCCCTCTTCTCGAACATGCCACGCTGCTGCGTGTGTTTGCGGAGCTCGCCTCCTCGCGACCCTATGCCTGTGTGCTTCGAAAACGGTTATCCTTTGCTCAACTTTCCACTAAAGGAGCATTGCTATAGCAACTGATCACCAAGGAGCAATTTCTCTCAGGATACGTGGATCTGTGATTCGTAGATGACGTCACATGCACCACCGATGGCCACAATACCGCTTCTTTGCTGCTGCAACCCCCCGTCTTTTACTCCTATTCTCAATCTAGTTATACGTTCATATGTTCCTCTGGAAGACCAAAGCCTCAAATGCTTTTTATAGGTTTCAGAGGCGACACTGTCTGTCTACAAACAGATGCGACATCTATATTGCTTGTTGAACGTGGAGAGAGGACTGGCCGACACGCGAGCACCCGCGGAGCATCAGTCTGGCAATGGGCACGCACGCACGGCTCTGCGACAGTGCCTGAAGGGTCACCAAGCGGCAAACAAGCATAATGACCCTGGCCGTTCTATTCCAACGCCGAGATATTTAATAGAGCCGTGTAGAGAGGAGAGAGAGGAATATTTTGGCGGTGCTAATCATCTCCTCGTTCCTGCAGCCTGGCTCATTGCGAAATCCAGATGGTGCGCGCTGATCGATAAAATGAGATGAGTCGGATTTATCATTAGCTTTGAGTGAATTATTCCAGCAACCTGCTAACTTCTATTTACTTCTCCATAGCCTGCAGAAGACTGTCAATAGAGAGAGATAAAATGGATTAAATGAGATAGGCATATATAATCTGTGAGCCGGTTCATTGCATAATTGTTTCCACCTCTGGATAGGCCTATACCTAAAATTGATTAGATATTGCCAAATCGTTTGAAAATTGTGCCAGTCAGTAAATAATATTAATACATTGATTTTGTATTGTAGATATGTGATAGTAGAGTAACAGCAGCACCTGCTCAGGTTGAATCAAACCAACCCAATGTCAACGTGGCACTGCGGCCAACCTCCGGGTACAGAGAAGCCAGGCAGTCAGTCAGAAGAGGTGAAGCCTACACAGTAAATGAGACTGCAGCATTGGCCGCCGAGCCGCTGCCGACCCAACCGTCCAACTCTCCGTAGTAGAGCTGTTTAATTGCATTTAGGCCAAGGCAAAAAGGCATTACATTCAGTGCCATTGAGATTCCCATTTGAAAGCTGCATTAAAAATTAATTGCTAATTACTTTGAATGACTTCATATAATAATTAGAAAACTAACTGGTGAACATTTAATGAAAACCAAAATGGAGGAACCCAAAGTGGGAATCACTCGTTAACGACTTGGACGGCTTAGTTAATTAGGTAATTATTAAACCAGAAAAGGTTGAGAAAATAATGTTCTGCTTCACATCGCGAATTACTACTGACTTCGAAGAGAACTCAATTCAGAGCTAGGCTACTGTCAGTTTTGATTATTTGGGTGCCCCTGCGGTCTATAATGGGCGATCCCATTGC